GGCAGCAAACTAGTGATCTTCCTGCCTCAGCCCGGGGTGATCTGGGACTGGGGGGGGGTGTGAAGGGGTGGGTATCAGTATGTCAGCTGCAAGGTACCTCTGGAAAAAAGATGGGAAGTTGTGTTTTCCCTGGGTGAGCACCAGGAGGAGGCTCCTGCTCTCCCCAGAGGAAAACGGGCAGCCACAGTGTTTCAGGGCCAGGTGGGGCCACAGAAAGAGCCCAGGGCTGATGGTGGCAGCCTGGCAATGGTGGGGGCTGCACTGGAGCCCACTTGGCATGTCCTGTACACTCTGCAACATGCCTGACTCGTATTACTTTTTAAAAATTTCTATTGGCTAATGCATGTCCAGCAGCCTTTGTGTGACATGCAAGTGTTCTGGTAGTGGAAACTTGTCTTTGTCCCTCTGTGAGTTAGTGTCATACTAGACCGGAGCCACTGGCTTTTGGCTTTGATATGGAGGGAGGATTCTTGTCTGTTTAGCAGATTAGATGCTTAGTTGACTACATGATGACAATTTTTCATATTTTCTGTTTCAGATTCCCTCTTTTATACACAACAAATCATTCCAACTCTACTTTGACATATAAGCCTGATAAGTAGCAAGGAAGACAGGCTGAAGGACCCAAAAAACTCCACACAAATTATATTTGAGATTAAATTATCCTTGAGGTTGAAAGGGATGATTTTGTGTGTGTGTGTGTGTGTGTGTGTGTGTGTGTGTGTGTGTGTGTGTGTGAGGCAGGGTTTTGTTATGCAGTTCAGCCTGGCCCTGAACTCACTTTGTAAGCCAGACTGGCCTCCAACTCAAAGTGATCTTCCTATCTCAGCTCCCCAAGTGCTGGGATTATGGGCTTGCACCACCATGCCTGGCTTCTTTTCTTTGTTTTTTTATTTTAAGGAGAATAAAACAAAACAAAACAAAACAGAACAAAGCAAATCAGAACAGAACAATGCAAGCTACACAGAAGTTCATAACAAGACAACAGGAAATCAACAGTGGCTACCATAATATCTCTTGTTTTCTTTGAAATAGTTGTCCATACCTTCACATATAATACAATCAAACAAAATAAAATATATAAAACCAATCAAAAGAATGAAAACATTTATGGGACTTCAAAAAAAAAGGACAATAGGAAATCAACAATGGCTACCATAATGTCTCGTTTTCTTTAAAATAGCTGTCCATAGCCTCATACACAATGAAATAAAATAATAGTAAACAGACTAAAACTAATCAAAACAAAAGAATGAAAGAATTACAGGACTTCAAAACCAGATAATAGGAAACGAGCAATGGTTACTATAATATCTCAGTTTCTTCAAAATAGCTGTTTATACCATCACACATAATAAAATCAAACAAAACAGAATAAAACCAATTAAACAAAAGAATGAGAGCATTATAGGAATTCAAAACAAGATAGTAGGAAACCAATCATGATTACCATAATACATCTCATTATATTCAAAATAGCTGCCCAAACTATCAGACACACTAAAATCTAACAAAACAAGACAGAACTGAACCAAATCTAAAAAAACTGTGAAAACATTACAAGAGTTCAAGATAAGACAATAAAAATTAACAACTGGTTACCACCTTCTCCTGGTAGGTGTTTCCTCCTCTATCACTTCTATAATGTCTAACTCCTTCTGTTATTTATGCCAGTGTTCACGCTGTCTCATTTATAAACACGATCTTTAGTTGCATCCATTTACCTACAAAAGCCTCGAGATTATACTACTTTATAGCTGAGTAGCTTTCTGTTGTATGAAAATACAGTGTCTTTCTTATCCCTTCTGTGGTAGATGGGCAAGTCACCCTTGCTCTTTTCTGGTCTCCTGTCACATGGAATACTTGTTTTCTCCCCTTTGATTTTCAGTCTGTGAATTTCCTTTTGCATTAAATGTGTTTCTTGTATACTGTATACTGATGGATCTTGTTTCTTGATCCCCTCTCCCTGTGTTTCTTTTTATTGCTGAATTGAGGCCACCTACATTAATGGTTACAACCAGCATGCACTGTTTTGTCTCTGCCATGCTATTCTCTTGCTGTTGGCCCTCCACTTTTCCCCTTCATTCAATTGCCTGTCCCATTTGGCTTCTTGAAGACTTTTAAAACTTATTCCAACTTTCTCCATCTTCCCACCCTTCCACTTCCTCATTAACTCCAGAGATTTGAGAAACCTAATAAAACTAATCATAATTACACTGTAATACTGGTTTAATGGTAATCATTTTGAAGATTAAAATCTAGGGGATAAGAGGGTATTTCTCCAAGATCACCATCTGATACGCAGCAGTATGACAAACACCTAGCACACTCCACTGTCTTGTCCTGTCAAGAATTCTGTGCATGCTTTCCACACAGGCTGGCACTACTATAATAGTTCTGTCTGTCCATACAGGGATGTGATTGTAAATTGCAAATTAGGGAGAATGAAAAACCTACTTGCAAAGCTCTGACAGTGATCTTGTCCTCAGAACTCTCCAAGTATCAGCTTGTAAAAGAGGACAGGAATAAACAGTCTTTTTTGTGGTCCTGTAGAACCCTACACCACTGCACACAAACCAGCTTTTCCAGCTCCATCCTCTACCACGCTTCTCTGTCCAACCTGCCTTTAAAAGATCTGCCATTCTTTAAACCCACATCCCCCTTTTTTTCCTTCCCACCTGCCCTTGTGTGTGCTAAGTTTCTCAGAATGCTCAGGGTTTCCCGCAAAGGCCTTGCACCCTACAGTTCACAGTCAGAGATCCTTCCCCTTTATAGTACTGCCCCAGGAAAAATGAGCTCCTGCTGGGAGCTCTCCTTGTGTTGATGGACCCACATCTCTTTGATTGTACTTTGCTGTACTCTATCAACTACTCCCACAAGTTCTTCTGTTAGTTCCATGGGAACTGGGAGCTCTGGATGGAAAAGGCTCTGCACCCCAGCTCCCTCTCCTGGGCCTGGTACCCAGTAGATGTTACTAAATGAATGAAAGTATGCAAGCAAGTTCTAAGTAACCTCATGAGATGTAAAGTTTGCTTTGTGAAGGCAACAGACAATCACTTACATCTTTGCAGGTTAGTACAGGGCAGTACAAGTCTTGTACTATCATGGAGAATGGTTCTTAAAAATCAGTCTGTCCTAGGAAGACCTCCTGAACTGAATTAAGTATTTGCAACTTGGATTTCTTTCAGTTCTACTTTGGGGCCCAATCACTTGAGTATTTTAATTACTGTTCAAATGCAAATTACCTATGAGAGAAGTAGATTTAGTAAGCTATTTCTAAGATCACTTACAAGTTACTTGCACAAAAATTTGTGGTTTTGACCAAAAAAAAAAAGAAAAGAAAAGAAAAAAGAATCACAAGTCAATCAATCAGCAAAACATCCAGAATAGATTTGGTAATTTACTGTGCAGGATCAGTGAATTAAAATAATAAATATAATTTAAAAATAAAGCAGTAAGCCAAGTCTTAGCACTGGGTTGGACACTGATTTTTCTGTACCTTGTTGGAATCCTGGATTATCTTCACATTGTCCGCTCCGAACTTATCTGCATAGAGTTTGAGTAGCCTTTGGGAAATCTCAGAGAGACCTGTCAATTTAGGCTCTTTATAAATATACTCTTTACCTTCTTCCTCTTCAAAAAATCCCTATGAGAGACACATAATGGACCACTGGTTTTATTAGGGAACTTTAGGTACAAATCACAAGCAAAAGAAAGAAATTTACTTAAAAAATATAGCTAGTCTTTGCATTGTTTTCCAGGCCATTGATTAGCACCCCATAAAATTCGAAATGAAAAAAGAACAGCTGAAGAAAAAAGTATCATATAAACAGACATTAATGTAAATATTCCCTAGCCATGTCAAAGAACTTCATTAAATATCTTACATATATTTTCTCTGTAGAAATCAATGGATCTGCGGTCATATATTTTTGGGGACGAGTGCCCTCTTGTGGCAGTCTGAGGTAGACCACAAAACAGAGCATGTTTGGCAAGGCCCAATTATCATTCTTAATGTCCTCTACAAGTCTTTGAAACTAGTACAAATAACATGATGTGGAATATAAAGGTACCTAAGCACTTTTTATCGTTATCTTAACACAAATTCCATGTAGTAAGCTCCTAGTTTGCACCACTTAAAATAGCGCTGCATCTGTATGATGTCAATGTGCTCGATTCATCCTAACTATATGTAGCATAATTACTAAATTTGCTTCACTAATAGTTCTTTTATGCTCTTGAAAGCTGGGCCTTACAGGATTAAAGACAGCAACCACCCCATCGTTTTTATCCAATAGGAGAAACTAGGATTTAGCCTTTATTCATTTGTCTGGCTGGAAACTGGCAAAGGGGAAGATTTTATTATCGGAAGGTAATTAAATGAGAAAAATCTTTATACTTCCTTCTCTATGAAGATACAGAAGTATTCTTCCTGTGGAATATATGTGAGCTCAGAACACTAGATGAATTTGAGAGTGAAGAATCCAAGTTATCTCGTTTTCTTTTCTGCAGCCTTTACCTCCAAAGAAATGGCTTTTAAGGGTGGGCAAAGCTATTGGAGTTCAAAAGAGGCTTAGGTCTTCGAAAAAAAAAAACCTTTTTGACAAAATTATTCATTATATACCAAGTAAGTCAGACAAAATGTTCTAATGCTGCTTTCCTTTTTGGTGGCTGATTGAGGCAATCTCGTAGTGGAATAGTAACTACTAAACCCATGTCTGTGCTGTGCACAGCTCTTGCACAGCATTTTCACTCCCACGCACGTGGTCACCATTCAGAGAGACTTTGTATCATAAGAGGGCCACAGCTGTCATAAGCAAAAGGTGAGGGAAGATGTCCCCTCCCCAACACTGTGACTACCTGTGTTCATTTCCATGTTCCTCATTGACTTTGGGCCCGTGGAAACCTGTCTTCGTCACCCGCCGTACTCAGTGTTTACTGTGCTGCCTGCCCTCCAGGAGGTTATTTCAATATGTTTGTATTTGTTCATTTTTCAACAGCTCATATTTATTGAAAGAACACACAGAGGAAAGAAATTGTTCTTAAAGGATCTACGCTTTAAAAAGGTGTATTTGCTCCAGATGTAACTAGGTAAGATTCCACTGCTTTCAATAAACATGTTTTATTGAATAATTCCTTTGAGAAATATTTCAAGGCACCAAAAAGTGGAGTAGGAGTCGCCAGGCCCTGAACTTCTAAGTGACACAGATGTGGAAAGCATGAAAAACAGCTTCCTGCCTTTCATCCACACCCTGTAGGGTGGCAAAGGCTTACCCTGCCTGCCGTGACCTCCTGCCTGCTGGGCCTCTGTTCTCGATTTGTGGAGTTTTGTCTGACTCAAAGTCATTAGTTAGTGGCTAACATGGACTGACACATCAGAGAAATAGACTTCTGAGGCCATCAGCCGGCATCTCCCTGTGGCCACAGCCAAGGCAATGTTTACAACTTCAATCTCACCAAGAAAAAAAAAAAATGCCACTAAGTTTCAGGAAAAGATTTCTATTTTTCTTCAGCCATACAATGAAAGTGAGTATCAAGAGCTATTTTCACTGCGATCTTTTCCCCTGACAAATTTCTGAATTTGTGGAAAATACGGGGTAGAAAGCAGGTGTCTATTGTTGTCCTGATGAGCTCTGTGGTCTTGGCCATGACCTGTGACTTTATTGACTTTCCTGATTTCTTGATCTGCAGGGTGGAGAAAATGGTCAGAAACCTTCAGAGAGGCCATCCGTGCCACACTGAGGGCACAGGAGGCCTCTGATGAGTGCCAGCTGTGAGGATGATGATGCAGACACAAATCCCATTTCCATAAAGAAACCTGAGTGCCGACTCCTGTGGTGATAAAACCACTTAGCCCAGCTCTGAAGCCTTAAGCACACATACCTTCAGCTGAGCTTCCAGCACAACCACAATTTGCTTATTTCAGCAAGTCTGCTGAGTCTCCGTATTTTGGACAGTGATTGATTAGAAAGAAACAGATTAGAGCTCTTTAATTTTAATAGAATGGAGATTGTAACTAACTGAGACTGTTTTATAAAACTATTAAGGAGGAGCAGGAATAGAAAAATAAAGCATTGAATCCAGGGTTCTTCTGCCAGGGTTTGTATAACGTGCTTTAGAGACTGTCCAAGTGGCAGCGGCGGAAATATCTGAAGGACATGCTTACCTTTTACCCATCAAGCCATCAAGCCATGGTCCCTAATTATGGAACACTATCTTAGGAGGGTGGCAGCTGCAGCTCTTTATGGAACTCACAGTTTATGAACTAAATGCAGCTGATGGGAACCCAGCAGCAAGGCTGTAAACTGGTTGCATTTCAAGGCAACCGGAAGTATGGCCTTTGTTAGCTTAATTTTTTAAAGTGTTATTTTACAGTGCAACAAATGCCTTCATCCCTCAGGAAACAGCACATTTTGAAGCAAGGACTCTGAGTCGGCAGTGTTACTATACATGGATTATGAAACTTATAGGCAATACAGCAGGGTGGGCTGACCCCCCAGACCCTGACTCCTTAGGAGGTGCTCCTTCTTTTCACTTGTTTCCCAATCTTGCCATGACCATCTTATCACTGGAATGTCAACCATAAGTGTGCTGGCGGCTATAGTTAACTGATCCAGAGTTCTTAAACAAAACAGTGCATTCCAAGAGAAATACAGTGTACCAAAGACAGGTTAGAAAACCTTAATAGCAGGCTAATTGTTTCAAGAAAGGATGCTACAAGAATGTAGAGAAATAGGTCCATGCATGCATGAACTCAGTTGCGATGTTTGACTATGAATATGTAGTTTAGCTCAGTGACTTTCATATATGTGAGGAGATAGAAAGGAATGTCACATTCCAAAGTGGAGATGGTGGTTTTTCAAACTACACATGAACCTTCCCCACTCCTCTCAAGTTCTTTATGAAGATTCTGAGCTGCACTCAAGGAGGTGCACTTAAGAATCATGAGATCTAAATCCTTCAGTGCACAGAATAAAACTCCTCCAGCTCTTCCAGCTAATGAATTCCAGGGGCATCTCATGTCTGCATTCTGCAGCAAACATTCATCTGCTCTCCTGCAGAGTACCAGGGCCCAAGAATTTCACAAATTATAGGCAATGTTTGATCCTCATTGCTGTGTCTTTACTCTCCAAATTAATTATTTTAGGGAATTCAGTGGAATGCTTTACACAAACTGCTACGTGTAAAATTTCCATGGGCAGCGATACCAGGTGATGAGTTAGAAATTGCTATGCAAGACTTCTTTTTTAAAAATCCCAGCAGTGAAACAGTAATTTTCCATTTGTTTTCCAGTGCCTAGCTCATTGCAGACACAATTAATATTAAATGCCACATTCAATACGATAAACAGAAAGCACTACAAGTATATGGGATGCTAAAATATGGACTCATACGCACTTAGTAGAGGTGAAGATCCTGCTGCATATTACATTACTATAATATTTTTAACATGATTGCAAGATGCTCCAATGTGGATGCTAAAAGGTGAGATTTATTAGATATCAATCATCATCATGGATAGCAATTCATTTCTGTTTATGGATATTATGCCAATCAGGTAACCAGGAGTTCATCTTAATTCTTTAGAATCTTCACTGTACACACACTTAGGAGGGTGTTCGAATCTACTTTGTATTTCTTAATCATGAAGAGGCTGTGTCTGTTCAATACATTGTTCACACATGCCATCTGGTGTATTGGGGCAGGCACTGCATCATTTGCACAAGGATGTCTGGGGTTCTAACCTGCTGGTTATAAAGTTAACCTTAATGAGTTCTTCTACAAGCTCTTCAAAGGTGGCTGAGGTTTGAGCTTATAGGGGACCATCCGGAGGTATAGTCTTGGGTCTGAGCCTGTAACAAAACACTTTGCCTTTTGAGTTTGGTTGAGCTGGTTTTTTTTTTTTTTTTTTGGTTTGGTTGGTATTTTTTTTTTTTTATGTAAAAGACAATTGAGAATGCGAGCGGCATTTATAAAAATGTCAGGTTCCTTTCTAGTCAGCATGCTTTCCTAAAGAATGTGAAGAAGGGACAGTTAAGTCATTTGAAAGCTCTCCTCAATCTTTCCCCATGGCCCCTTCAGTTAATTTAGTACGAGGGTTTTCAAGAATTCTTTTAGTTGGTGAGTTAAGCAGTCAGTAGCCAAACTTTATAAATGAAAGTAGAAAATACTCATGTGGTATGGAGGTAGGAAGGAGTTTATAGAATTACAAAAAAGTATATATTGGTCAGGAAAGTTGAGCTGAATGGAACCTGATAGTGTGTGGATATTGAAAGAGTATTTCTTGCTAGCTTAATCAACAATAGTCTTCATCTGGGTACTGGAAGATTATTTCTGCCTTGGTTTTCATTCCAGATTTCTTCACTTCTTTCTGCAAATTTTGAAGCTTTCCTTGCTGGGTAAAGATTTATCTTCCTGCCACTTTTCATGTTGAGAATTGGTACCATCACTTCTGAGGATGCTCAGAGCTTACCAACACAGAGAGTCTTTTTTCTTCAAGAAATTCTGTGGCAATGACCAGGTCCTCTCAGAACTCTAGGAAGATGCCCATGAACAGTCACCAATGAAATGACTGCCACCCTCACGTTCTTGGCAAGCTGCTATGCTTTGTGGCCTGAAATAAACAGGCTTTGTTTTTTTCAGTACCAGGAATTGAACTCAGGACCTTGTGCTTGCCAGACAGGCACTGTGCCACTGAGCTGTATCCCTAGCCCCTGAAATAAACTGGAACTAGCTAATACCAGTCTATACTAGAGCTAATGTTGTATTCATATTTACATCAGTGTGTGGATATATTCTAGACTATATCCTCTATCTTCATGGAGAATGATGATTCACACGAAAAAGGATACATTTTTGTAATTCAGATAAATGGGATAAATGCAATTTAGTGCAAAAAATGCAGGATGATCCCAAAATAAATGGAAATGAGATTAGCTTATCCTTTGCACCAAATGTTGATTTGCACAAAGTTAAGGTTCAGTAAAATCATACAAAGGGATGTGTGAGGATCATTAGAACATGCAAAGTGAGAGGGAGAGAGAACTTACCACAGCCTGCAACAATCAAGACCAAAAGAAGAAAAGAGTAAACATCAGCATTAAAAACTAATTAGAAGCAGTAAGATTTGTTTCTACCTGTTTAATAGCCTGCATCTTAGATTTTAGTTGGAGAAACCATCAGGAAGTAACCTATTTTTCATGCCTGTGGTATTAATGGTATTTCATTACTCTTACTGGTGAAATAAATAAATGCGTATCTTGTGTGGTCCTTCTTTACTGCTCAGTTAGTCTGGGCTCATCTCCCTTGAAATTATCTTTCCCCTTCATACACTCTCATATCGCCTTCTTCACAGTGTTTTCTGCCCTTTTTCATGGTAATGATTCACTGAGGTCACACACTGCTTAATTTCGCATGGCTCCCAGTACCATCCCTTCCGTTCTTTCCTCCTTGCTGGAAGAGTCTCACACTTCTCTGTCACTAAAGAGATATGTGTACAACAGATAGTTCACATTCTTTTCTACGTGCCCTGAGAATGTCTAAATTAAGCTTTTCCCTGTAGACTGTGTTAGCTTCATACCACTAGGCCTCTCTGTTTCCACAATTCCAATGCCCTGTGAAGTGAGAGAACCCTAGTTCAGATGCAGGTGCCTAAGGTAAGTGGTCACTCTTTGATACTCTTCTGACAGAGAGAATCTATCTTTATTAATTCAGAAGTTAGCTTTTCAGCATCTTTGTTGGTCAGAGGAAAATATGCTTTTCAGAAGAGTGCAGTAGAAAATGATCTAGAATGGCTATGCTGAATTTGATTCGTTTACGACTTAAAAGGTCCCGAGGAGAACGAGAACCTGTGTGAAAGAGTGCTTCACATGAAGGGAAAAAAGGAAAGCAGGCTCACACTCATTGAAACTGAAAATAAGACAATGGCATGTTTATCCATAAAAAGAACAACCTGCAACACATCTGCTGAAATATAAGAATGATATAAGTCAAAAAGACGTGCCTGGGTTTATCCCATGCCAAGCACTGTATGAAAAGATATCCATAGTTAATGTACCACGTGTTTGCTTTTAGGCAAATGCACTGGCTAGCTAATATTTTAAGTCTTGTTCATTGCTGATGCAAAAAAACTGAGAAAGATAATTACACTGACCTATAACCCAGGAAACAAAAGAGGTATATAATGTTCTGTTTGGAAACAGTGGTAATTTGAAAATAGGAGAAAAGAAATTGCAATATTGTTGAGTCACAGGTTTGACACAGTGGATTCTTTTCTTTCTTAGAATGTTATGAATGTCATTTCTTGAAACATGTTCCATTTGATTTCACTTTAATCAATGATATAAACATTTGGCTAAGTATTTTGGGAGTGATTTAGAGGAGGAGGAGGAGGGGAAAAAGAGGGATGGGAAAGGAATTAGGAAAAAAAAAGAAGCACATTGTATTATGTACCTGTATCCAGTCCTCACATGACTGTAAGATACATGTACTGTACACACGTATTAAGAAAACAATGTTGGAGTGAACTGAGAAGAAAATGTTAAAAGGTGAGAACTCTCTATCTTCAGTCACTTAGAAATCACTGTTCTTGCTTGATTTGCACCGTTTTATGAATTTCTCTGGCCACTTGTTTTTCAATTTACCACATTTCTCTAGGCAAATGCATGGATATCTGCATCTTCTCAACTCCCTCGCGTATATAGTCAGATGATTTAAAATCACGAAAGACAACATTCTACTGCTCAACAGAATTTACAGGCCATGTTACTCCTTGTGAACTCACCTGCCCATAAAATGCCACACGATAGTAGCGGCCAAACAGCCTCTTCTCTGAATTCACCACCTCTGCCACTTTTAGGTATGACCGATGAATATCATAGTAGAGATCTGATAATTTCTAAAACCATAAATCAAAAAGTCATTAAATGATGATGGAAAAAAGGAGCTCCTATTTAGCTTTTGAGAACTGCACGCAATTTCCCAAGGTGAAGGAGCAGATTTTAACTAGCTCCTAGAAGTTTCCAATACATACTTTGAAGTCTCGTTGCTTCTCAAAAACGGCAATGATAGGCTTGTTGACATCAGCGATGAGTTCATATCGCTCTGATTTCCAAAGGAACTCCACACACATATACAGCTGCTCCACCAGAATATTCTATAATGCCCCAAAGGAAAATTTTAGACTGAAGTTGTGGCTCATTCCTAAAACGCAATTTCTAAGCTACTGCTTTGCCAAGTTGTTTCTTAGTGAGATTCTAAATTTGCTGCCTTTGTTATTTGCAATTAAATCCTAGGGAAGGATGCCAGTATTTTCTTGGAGTCTTCTATTTTCTTCACTGTTATCACTTAACAAGTGCAACAGACCTGCTAATTCAAATCTATGAAGTGCCATCAGCTCTTTCTGTGTGTTTCCATTGCCATTGTTACTGACTACTCAAAGTCCTGTTACTCCCAGGCCCCTGGAGTAGCTGTCTAGCAAGTTTATGTTCTCTGACCCTTGGCCACTGTGTGGTAATCTTTCTTTCTGAAACATAAATCTGATCTCCTTTGCCATAAACCTCTGTGGAAACTCCAGTTTATGACCTCCTGTCCAAAGTCTCCAGCCTGGCATGGGAGGAGGTCCATGCACAGGCACCGAGCTCCTCTGTGCTCCACTGTGCCTCTTCCACCCAACACTCTGCCTTGGACTTTGCACTTTGGCTATATGGAGTGGTGCACTGTGTTCCTAGCATACTTTCTTTCCTGGACTCTTTTGCCTGTGTCGTTACCCCATCTGTAAGGACTCTCTGTTCTCATTTGACATCTTCAAGACCCATCAAATGTCAACATCTGGTACAAAACTATGGAGAGCTTTTACATAGGATTGTGTTACAGAAATGTGCAGTGAATGTGCACATTTTAAAAAATGTATTATAGGGGCTGGGGATTTAGCTCAGCGGCATAAGCGCCTGCCTTGCAAGCAGGCAGTCATGAGTTCGATCCCTGGTACCGATAAAAACGAAAAAGACAAAAAAATAAATGTATTATAATAACAAACACACTGGTATTAATCACCATTCAAATATCCCCCCTCTAGCTTTGAACATGCTTATCCTATCATTCCTGCCACTTTCTGAAGCAGTTCTGTAAGTCCTCTTTTGTGAGTATAGAGGCACACTGACCTGTCTGCCTTGATGTTCTGAATCAATTCAAAACATTCACCTTTCACAGTCATTTTGACTTTGGGGCAGAGCCAGAAGTTGCAAAGGGTGCCTGACTGAGTGAATGAGGTGCACAAGGTCACACCATCTTGTTTTTACAAGCCCACCTTTCTGGGATGGCACTCAGCAGCAAAACTCACTCTACTGTTGATCACACTTTTTGAAGCTACTTAGGAGAATAGATTTTTACAACTGCTTCAGAAAGTGGCCAGAATGAAATGAAGAGGCTTGTTTCAAGTGGGATTATTGGCAATGTATTATTTACTATAATAGTTTGTAAATTTAAAACATGCTGTAGTTGTTGATCAGCCTCTATATATCTATTTATCCTATTCCAATCACTTTCATGCAAAAAATTATTCCTTTTAAAATTGTAACCATATATGATATCTAGACAAATAGTTACCAAGCATGTATTTCTAACTGCCCACTTACCACCTTGAAGGAATCTGCATTTCTCATGTTATAAAATTCTTTATGATCAAGAGTTATGCCTTGTTTATCTGTGTTTCATAACTCTTAATGCGTCATAGATTGGTGATACATGAATTCATAACCAACTGAAGTGGAGCTTTATATAAGCTCCAAAAAATGTATAATACTGTTGAAATGTTTCCAACAATGTCCTTTAAGAAATAGTCCTTAAACATTACTTCAAATAGTCACTATAAATACATAATTACATTTTCTTTTGTTTATTTGAAATATACATCAAGTTTATGAACTACATATAAAATTTTATCAAAGTCCCTTCTTGAATTTGCATTCTGTATCCTTTTTTCCCACCAAAGTAATATTAAAATTTTTAAATATTATTTTATTAGTTGGTGAGAGGAACTCTATTTTCTTTGCCAAAATTGTTGCTAATTTCAAGTAGACAATGTCTTGTTTTTATTAATGAAAAACAACTACATTTGCCTATCAGCTCCTTTTGTTTTTTGAAGAAACTAGTGAGGTATAATTGCACTTACAAATATACTTGCTAATGTATTTTTTAAAAAAAGCTTTGACAAGTTTATAAAAATTTTAGCAGCCCTTAACATCTTCACCAAAAGACTAGTCACTGTTTGTCTTATAAAAGAGCTGACTGTGTACACTGGAGTTCTTAGAGAAGCAAAGGGAGCTCAGCTAAAATTTTCATTGAAAACTATGCTTTATCAGTGGAATCTGGTATCTATTAATCTTGGCTTAAGTTTAGCCTAATTTATTTTGTTTGTTGAAATCATAACATAGAGTAATTTTATCAGATTTTTGAGTTAGCTCCTTTCCCCTGAGTCAGCTTAGTATCACAGCTCAATGCATTTTTAAAAACTTAATCATCACACATTAGGTCATGGTAGTCTAACCTCATTGTAGGGTGTATCTTGCATCCCCGAATCCTCTTTCATTGCTCCTTCTTCTTTAATATTTGGTGTAATGCTCAGAAAAGCTGGCCATCCCATGGAGAACAGGCCTTGGCAGGATCAAGCAAAATGAAACATTGATAGAGTCAAATCTTGTTGGGATTAGATTATTGACTTTCTTTATGATGTCACAAGTCATAGCATTATAATCTTCTCATAATCAATAAGCTGGTTAGAGTGTGATTATAGATAAGTAGTCTTCTTGTCACGTTTCCCTTTAATTATTTTTGTATAATTTTCAGGTAGCATACTTCCTGTAAAGCAGTAGTATGGGAGTTTCGAACACAAAGTGGTAGATGTAGGTAACACATTTGCAATGTCCTGGTTTAATATAGCCTTTCTGAGTCTGTTGTACTCAGCTGTTAAGCTGGAGACATGAATATCTATCTCAAAAAGTTTGAAAGATTTAAAACATTACAATTTGAGAAAAATGTCTAGAACAATCAGTACATTTTCCTTACTTTTATTTTTAAATTTGTAATTTAAAATATAAAACTATTTTATTTTTAAAAATTAGTGTGTTTGCAGTATACCCTAGTTTATTCTCTTTGAAGGACTATTATAAGGGAGTCATGTATCTTGATCATTTTTGTTCCCTAAAGTAGTATCTTTGCAATGCTCAGTTCTCACTAGTTTTCACTCTTTTTCATCATCCCGAAACCTTCTTAAATTTTAGTAACCTGGAAAGTAACATCATAAAGATCTAAAAGAGACTAACAGACTTTCCAGGAGTATAGGAACAGCTGGTCCCAGAAAGGGAGTCAGTCTCGGCAGTGAGGAGAGCATGATTAGGGTGACAGTCTGCAGTGCCAGCCCAACTCTCAACTCTGGTCCCATCTTAGCCAAACACCAGCTCTCAGCAGGTTATTTTCCCTTTCTTGGTTTTCTCACCCAAAAACCAGAGGAAATCAAAGGACTGTGGCCATTAATTGAGTCATTGCTGGTACAGTACTCAGCATGGAGCCTTCCATGTGTCAAGTACTGAGTTATTGCTTACACTTTTGTGAAATGATTTCATTTTCCATAAGCATCTCATTAGCTATGTCACTAAATTATCACTCCCCAAGCATAGGAGAAATTATAATTAATGCAATTTAAACCTTGTTTTTTTAAAATCGGCTTTCCTACTTTTTATATTGATGTCTCTTTGATAACTACATAGGTGAATTGATTATAGAAAGAAATGTTGAAACATCTTTCAAATGATATTTATTAAGACATGTGAGGTACCTGTACTTTCTGGAGTTGCCTATGCTCAGCTATATTCTTACCTACTTGTATATTGTAAGAGGCTTACTCCTCTAACTCAGAAGCATGACATAAAAACATATTAAGGTTTTCCAATATATGTCAGACACATGCCGAGGGATATGCATTTAACCTAATGCATTATAAACAAGCAGCTTCCCCACTTCAGAGCTTACTGATAAATACATTCCATTTTCTAGGGACATGTTCAATAAAAAAATCCCAATGGCAGACTGGCATGCAGATATTGGTAGCTAAATATGACCATAACTCCTAAGCCCAAACATTGGATGATATGCATTTATTTTGCTGAGAACTTTTCAGTAATCTAAAGTTTATATGTTTTGGATGGGATTTCCAAATGGCAGGAGCTTAAGGATTTTGCAGAGTAAATTCCATAGGTGTGAGATTTTGCTTCTAATACGACATTTAAGAAGGTTTCACTGGAGCCAAATAGAGCAGTAATGAGGCTTTCTCTGTGCCAGAGGCCAACAAGTGGTTAGGTCACTCACTTCCTCCGCCTGAAGTTGTTAGTAGTGGGTTGCTATCACAGGGGTGGGTGTCCTCTGGGAGCAGGGATGCTGTGTGAATCTGTTCCATTTTCCAGTAACCTATGGTAGTGCAAGATGATGTTAGGATATAGCTAAACGTTTTGGTTAATACAAGGTTATGAAACTATAAGTTATTAATCAAGAAGTTGACCACTGAGTCAATCTTGCTGTACATAAAATAAACAGGCAGATGGTATAATAGACAAGAGTTAAAAATTTCAAGTACTGCATAATGAGAAAGACATGGGAAAGGCCATGTTATCTGCTAAAACATTACTGAGATTAATAGAAAGCAAAATTAATCAATGAATCCTAAATTAGATTTTAGCACGTTGACTCTTGGGTCCTCTCTCCCACAGTTGTCTCACTTACCCTTCCTTTTCAGGTATTCAGCGATGAGTGCAGCTATATGGATGTAACACATAGCAGCCTGTGCCAGGAAACAAAGCAAACACGTTTACAGAAAGGCTCTTACTCCATATCTAATTAGGGCTAATCTATCAAGGCGAGTCATTACTTCGTGACAGAATATGTTATCCAGAAAAAATTTCAAAATATTAATCTTAAGAGTAAAATGAAATAAAAGAACACAATTTGGGACATTGTGGTTCTTGATATAGTTTGAGATGGGTGAATGAACTGAGTTGAAGAATTTTCTCACAAAGTTACCTTCCTTTCTTAACATCTAAGCCCAGATTTTTAAAAAAAAAATTCCCAGGTATCTTCTTATCACTATAAACTCTCAATTTCAGCATAAATTAGGGATAATCTGTGTCTAAGGATTTTCTACCTCCAATGATAGCCCTCTTCAAGTTGTACTGCATTGAAAATGCTTGTCTAGAGGGACAGCACTTGATTAACTAGTGTGACCTGGAGTAGCATGTATACCCCCTAAACTGGGTTATACGGATGGTATTTGATCTTTCTCTAGTATTTCCTACAAAGCCTTAAATGTTGAGTGCATATTAAAATATGACTTGTTGAAAGTTCTAAATAACTTCAGATTTTTCCTTTTAAGGTTGCTGGAAGGATTTTACCATTGTTGGGTCTGTCTAATGGCACTACAGTTGTTCTCTCTTCTTGCCAAACTGCTGCCAAAACAAGCTTCTGCTTTCTGTCTCACAAACCCTGATCACCACAAAAGCTTTAGGTTTTGGGGTCATTGTAGACAAATTTATCTCTTCCCAAGAGAGCCATAGTTCTGAGAATAAGCAGAACTTTCCCTTTTGGCACCCAGGAGCCTGGCGGGGATGAACTGCTGCATATGCATCCACCCAGTGTTAAAGCTGACATAGGAAAGTTAGGTATGGTTCCACAGCTTTGTCAGTGATCTCTCCTTGTATGGCATAAGGAGTTAATTCTCTCATGGCCAGTTCAGACTAGCTGCAGTAAGGACTGATTTCCTCTGCCCGGGTTTACTCACTACACAGTAGGTAGCTTTTCCTATTAACTCCAAGGGTAAAGAAAATGCTGTGGAACATAGAACACTACCTTATGGGACTCTCAATTTCCAGACAGTGTAATTACTGTCCTCTTTAGCCTCATCCGGGCTGCTTTCACGTGTTGCTGCACCGCCTCCCACCCGACCCTTATCTCAGGCCATCAGCGTGGACTCAGGCATTCTTAAATTTTGCATGCAAACTTATTGCATATAAAGTATAGCTGTGTCATATATAGAGAAATGGGAAGATATAATAATTTTTTTTATAATTCATGCTGTGTGAGAAAGTGGAGTCATGCTGATAAAGAGTTCAATGTATTCACTAAGATGCCCATTCTGGTTTGACTATTGTCTCCTTTGTAAGTCCTGTAATCTTTACAATGTTTAAGTTTTATTGTTCTTGTTCTCTACTGTTTTGTTCAACTTTATAATACCTAATGAGATAGACAATTCTTTTTAAGGAAACAAGAGACATTATGGTAACCATTGTTGATAACCTTGTACTCTGTTCTTACATCATATACTATGTCTATTCTTGGTTTTGACTGACAGCTTTGTTTTGCCATATTTGACTTTATTCTCTTCCAAAAAAAAGTAATAAGAACTAAGGAGTAATAAAACCCAAAATGTGTAAATTTTGTTGTAAAAAGGGGAGGGAAAGAAAGTACTCTAAGGGATACAACTGCAAGTGTGTTTAGGGGTGTTAAATAGCTGACCATATTAATGTTTTTGGTTGGATCATTGAACACAACTGTTTGCATTCTCTCTGTTTGAATGTTCAGTTTGTATGCTTTGATACTGTGACTTGAGTAACTATCTCTAAGATGATAGTGTGTAATCTATTAACTGGTGATTTCTTACTTTTTTCTTTTGTAGTTCTGTATTACTTGTACCCTTACACTGCTTTGTTTTGTTTTGTTTTTTCTCTTTTTCTTTTTAAATAAAATTTTAAAAAAAGAGCTCAATGTAATGGTGAATGTGTCAGCCTTTGCTGATCACCTCAGATAAGTCTCCATTTCTGGCATGAATCTTGGCCATACTCTCCAGCCAGGTCCTCCGCAGTTCAGGGGTGCTTGCATAGGAGTTTGCCAGGCTGTACTGAAGGTCCACCAGCATCTCAGGGTCCTTTTCATGCTCCTTCATTTGAGCTGTGGCCATCAGAACGGTCCTGATTCGTTTAGTGAGGTCTTTCACTTCTGCTGGGAAATTGCTGTTCTTTGGAAAAGAGAGAGGCTGGGTCATTATCTACTTAGAGTTCCTAGGAGAACTTGTTTCAAGCCATGCTATTTAATTATGGTTGACCTCACAGTGTGGATGCTTGGTATGTGGTTCACAAATGTGTTCGTTTGCTACATATATAGATTCTGGGTCTTACAACTGTGGCTACACTCACACATTTGGAGGTAAGAATTGCACTAGACACTATTCTGTCTTCAAGCCTACCTCCTCCTGTTAGTAGCATCTCCATAGTCCTTGACAGCCTGCCCTCCCCAGCTCTTGTTGTTCACGTGATGATCTGAACAAGTCTGATTTCATCCTTAGTCTGACACCAGGGGAGCACATGGCACTTATCTGGCCAATTATACTGTTTGATCTCCCTGGTCACAAAGATTGTTTTAGGGATGGGCATATGACAAAAGATTGGATGAAAGAGATTCCTTTGTTGAACTTTGATTGATATTATCAAACAAAGTGCTTTTTTGCCTATAAGATACTATTAGTATCCTTTTGATTTCTAAGGATAATCCTATGGGGTGAGCATACTTGAAGTGAACAAGGAAGACTTGAACAGAAAGAGAGGAGGGCAAAACAGGATCAGTAGGCGACAAGATCTTAAATCATTGTTTTAATCTTTGTATGTAGTTATCACCCAAGCTCACCTTTAGTTTTCATATAATGATCAGAAGTGAAAAAATCTATAGAAAGCACAAAAAGAAAGATGAGAAGTACTTGTCTAAGATTGGGGTTGTAAGTGAACTGTTTTATTTCTGACTATTGATGGTTAATCTGCTTGTTATATAACATATGTCTTGGGAATGCCACTTAACAGATTATGTGCTATAAATGTAAAAGCTAGGCCTGGGGATTTAGCTCAGTGGCATAAGCACTTGCCTTGCAAGCAAGCAGTCATGAGTTCGATCCCTGGTACGACAAAAAAAAAAAAAAAAAAAAAAAAAAAAGTCAAAGCTATCAATTTGAATGACTAAAAATATATGCTCAGAATCCCAATGAACAAAATGAAGAATTAATATTTAATGATTTTTTTCTAGCTCACAACAAGAGTTTCAGTTTATCTTAGATTCTGTAGAAAAGTCTACAAAGCACTTCTTACTTTCATTTGCTTGTCTCCATTGGCAAAATTATTGGTGATTGCCAGGGAGTGTTGAAAGCGAGAGCCTCCAATCCCAGCATCAGCTATTAACTGGCTTACAGCTTTGATGAGCTGAAAAGGAAAAGAAAAATGAACCTCTTTAAGCAAAATGCCTTGTTGGTTTACGGTGCTGCAGGTCTAATTTAGGGGCTTGTGCATGCTTTTATAAGAGAATTAATGAAAGTTGGTACCACCTACTTGTAAGTGGGACCGGACAATTGACTTCTGTTTGTTAAATTCAAAATTCTTTCTCATGAAGAAGTATAGAAGAGCTGAGGCTTCCATTTGAGTTGATCGTGACCGGTGATTACAACATTTCAGGACTTCATAGCAGAATGATCCACAGAGGTCAGCAGGTCCTTGAAAGAACGCTGAGGGAAACTGGAGAAATAAACGAATGAGTGGAATGGACAACTTTCCTTCATTTTTCTCTGTCCATTCTCATTTGAAAAATCCCTCTTCTGTTTTAGTTTACTCTCTTTCTCCCATTTGAAGGTAAGCAAGGTATACTTTCATTCATGAAAGTCTATATAATTCTCTACATCATCAGTAGCTGAAAATAGCCCACAGTAATTGAATGAGAACCTTGAGATGTCTTCTATTTATTTGACATGGTTAAAATCCCAGAGTGTTATTTACAGGTGTCCTCACAGTGTCTGTACCTACTTTAATGTAAACCCTTTAACTTGACATAGAAAGATATGACATGTGCAGGAATGTATTTTACTAACATTGCTCATACAATTACTGGGAATCCATTTAACTATTGATTAGGCACTAATTTTATTTCCTTTTGGTATCCAAGCATGGAAAATCTGTCAACTCATTTGCAGCCCAGAAATCATATTAATAAGTAGCAGAAGAAAGCAAACCTTTTTCTCTCCATATCAAGGGACACAAAGATTATGATGTGCACGTTATCATCCTTAAATGAGCCCTCCTGGGAACCTGAAGGATCCTTACCTTGCATACAAACAATCTCAAAGAGGCAAATACATGCTTCAGTGCGGTGGCTGACTGGTTGACTTGGAAAAAGAGCATGTAGGTATCAAAGACCCTTTTCATTAATGAATTCTGACAGTCAGACTGTTGTAGCTGTCTCTGGAAATTCAGCACAGATGTTAATTAGGATAAATGAAACATTTGCATTTCTTCAAACATATTTTTGTGAGCCTACCATGTTGTAGGCATAGTTCTGGATGGTAGGTAAATGCACACAGCAGTGATAGAAAACATGACTAAATAAAATAATGGAGTAAGAGGATGTAATAGAAAGTATTTTCTTTTGGGGTGGAATTACTTTGTTCAGGTGATCAGCAAAGACCTAACTAACAGATGCACGAATGTATGTGCTGATGGAGCCTGCCTTAGAGAAATTTAAAGGACAGTCACAGGAGGGAGAAACAGATGGTGCAGGAGCCTATAGTTGGAGAGATGCTTATGAAAATGAAAAGCAGAGTGAGTGGGTAGGGATCAGGAAAGATGAGATAAAGTCACAAATAGATCTGAACTGACATTGGGAAAATACTTCAAATGGGTGAGATTTGAGTGACATTTCTAGTGGGCAATAAAAATATCAAATACAATGGTTACTTTTTTCTGTCACCATCATCACCTGTCATGGGAAAGCAAGGTTTGATGTAATCATGATGTTGGATACAGAGACTTCAATCAATGGACTCAGGATTTCCTGGTTTAGTCTTGATTGTGCTCGCCTGAGTCTGTAGCTCATTTGGTTGAAGTGCAAATGTTTTTAAAATATCTTTACTGAAGTAGGTGGCATCCAATAAATTGTACAAATTCTAAGTGTGTATTTTCATAAATTCAATATTCATATAGATCTTTGAAACCATACTGTAATCAGGATCATCTTTTTGGTAATTCCTTCTTACTCTTTCTCAGGCATTTTTAAACCTTTATACAAATTAAGTAATACAGCAATAGTATCGTGTTCTTCTGTTTTTTCCCTTTTTTGACTTAATGCATGTTTTAGTCTGTATCAGTAATTTATTGCTTTTTACAGCTAAATAGTACTCTATACATAAAGCACACACTTTTGTAATCCCTCTACTTGTCAGTGTACATGGGAATGACTTTTTTTCATTTTTGCTGTTGAAAATAAATCTGAGGTACATGTCTGTGTACAGAGCTTTGTGCAGGCATGTGTTTTTATTTCTTGAGGGTCAGTATTTACTCACAGTAGTAAAAGTCTTTACTGTTTGCAACCCTAGCATGAGTACAATTTATCTGCATCATTGTTAAAACTTGGGATGATCAATCTTTTAATTTATTTATTTAACTTTTAAATTTTAAAGAGAAAAAACACAAAACAAGTAACTACAAAAAAACCTCAAAACAATAACAATATACACTTTCAAAACAAGATGATAGGATTGAACAATGGTTGTTATATTGCATATTGTTATCTTCGAAAGAGTTGCTTAGATTACCAGATATAGACATGCAAAAATAATGGGTATTAACTGTTTTTTCCAAGAACTAATAGAATTAGTAGTATAAACATCTTAGCTATCTTACATATACATATATATGTATATACAAATATGTACAAATTTATATCTTTTCCTTTTTTTCCTCCTTTCCCCTATCCCACTTATTTTTTCCTCTTTGAACAGTTTCTTACCCTTTCAAAATGTGTATTGTAGATTTTTGGATCTTATTTTCACTTTCATTTTCTTACACTAGGGAGACAGTATGGTATTTACACATTGGGTTTGACTTATTTCACTTAAGAGTATGATCTCAAATCGCATCTACCTACCTATAAAAACCTCAATTCAATCCTTCTTTATAGCAGAGTAGTACTCCATTGTATAAAAACACAACATCTTTTTTAAAATCAGTTCCTTGGTTGATGGGTATTTGAGTTGTTTCCAAGATCTGGCTATTACAAATTGTGCTGCTATAAACATGGGTGCAATATATCACTGTGGGGTGATGTTTTCAGTTCTTCTGGGAATATGCCCAGAAGTGAAATGGCTGGTATAAAGGGAATTCTAATTCTCATTTTTTGAGGAAACTCCACACAGATTTCCACCATGTCTGTATCAGTCAACGTTCGCACCAACAGTGGAGCAAGTTTCCTTTTTGGACACAGGCCCTCCAGCAATTATTATTAGTTGATTCCTTGATCTGGGTCATTCTTTCTGGAGTAAGATGGAATCTCAGTATTATTTTAATTTGCAATTCTTGAATAAGCAATGATGCTGAACATTTTTTCATATGTTTATTTTCTTTTTGTATTTCTTCATCTGAGAAATGTATATTCATCTCAGATGCCCATTTTTGGATTCGATTGTTTAATTTTGGGGGCCTCGTATTTTTAAATTTTTATACATTTATACAAGTCCTTCATCTGAGGGACATTTGGCTGTTTTTGCCCATTTGTAGGTTTTCTTTTCACTCTGTTGGAGATTACTTTGACATACAAAAACTTTTTAATAAGACAAGATCCAGTTGTTGATTCTGGGGAGTATTTCCCATGGGGTTTGATTTTTGTTCTGCCTACTCCATGTCTTCAAGATTTTTACCTACTTTGTCTTCCAGCAGATTTAGTGTTTCTGTTCTAATATTTAGATCTTTGATACATTTTGACTTTAGTTTAGTGCATGGTGATAGATATGGGTCTAGTTTTAGTTGTGGGCATATGGAGAGCCAGTTTTTCCAGCATCACTTATTAAAGAGGCTGTTTTTCTTCCAATAAATATGTTTGGTCCCTTTGTCTAAGATAAAGTGGCTTGGTGTGTTTTTGTTGAGGCTGGATCTTGTAATCTATTCCATTGATCTTTTTTATGTCAGTATAATGCTGATTTTATCGTAGTAGCTTTGTAGTATAATTTCAAGTCAGGGCTTGTGATTCCTCCTGCCTTGTCTTTGTTGCCTAGGATTGCCTTTGCTATTCTAGGTATCTTCTGGTTCCAGATGAATTTTAGGAATGATTTCTCTAGATCTATAAGGTAATCCTGGTATTTTGATTGGAATTGCATTCAATCTGTATCATAATTTTGGGAGAATGGCCATTTTCACAATGTTTGTTCTTCCTATCCATGAGAAAGGAATGTCTTTCCATTTTCTGAAATCCTCTTTGATTTCTATACTCAAGGAACATTGTAATTTTCAATGTATAGATCTTTTACTTCCTTTGTTAGACTGACTCCTAAGTATTTCTTTCTTTGGGTGCTATTGTGAAGGGTATGGCTTCCTGTATTTCTCTCTTGTTGAATTTGTTGTTTGTGTATAGGAACACTATTGATTTTTGAGTGTTGATTTTGTATCCAGCTACATTACTGAATTTGGTTATTAGACCTAGGATTCTTTCAGTGGAATTTTTGGTGTCTTCTATGTAAAGTATCATATCATCTTCAAACAATGATAATTTAACTTATTTACCTGTGCTTATTTCTTTTATTTTCCTCTTGTCTAATTGCTCTAGCTAATGTTTCCAGAATTATATTGAATAGGAGTGATAATAATGGACATCCTTGTCCTGTTCCTGATTTTAGAATGAAAGCTTTCTGTTTTTGTCCTTTAATACAATGTTGGCTGTTAGTTTATCATGCACAGCTTTTATCAGGTTGAGGTAAAGACCATTCATTCTGATCTTTCATAGGGTTTTTACCATGAAAGAGTGTTGGATTTTATCAAAGCTTTTTCTGAATCTATTGAGATGAGCATGTGTTTTTTGTTTTTGGCTCTGTTGATATGGTGTATTTCATTTATTAATTTGTATATGTTGAACCATTCCTGCATTCCTGGGATGTATCCCACTTGATCATAGTGTATAATCTTCTTAATGATTTGTTGCCTTCTTCTTGCGAGTATTTTATTAAGGATTTCTGCACCTACGTTCATGAGGGAGATTGGCCTGTAGTGCTCTCTTTTGGTTGGGTCTTTTGCTGGTTTTGGTATTAGGGTAATACTTGCTTCAGGAATGAGTTAGGGAGAATTCTTCCATTTCAATTTCACTGAAGAGTTTGAGGAGTGTTGGCATTATGTCTTCCTTAAACTTCTTGTAGAATTCAGCAATGAATCTATCAGGCCCTGGGTTTTCTTTGTTGGTAAGGTTCTAATTACATTTTCAATTTCATTAACTGCAATTCAGTTATTCAACAGGTTTACATCTTCTTGATTCAGCTTTGGTAATTGATACATTTGTAGGGATCTATCTATTTCCTCTGTGTTATCTAAGCTATTGTGTCCTGACCTAGGTCCCCAATATCCCAAATGAGTGTACAGCAAAGGCTTAAATCAAATGAGACAAATGGTATGATTTTAGGGGGTCAAAACCCTTTAGCTGAGTTCGAGACTCTGAGGGCTAAGACAGAGACTTTTCTGGACCACTCTTTTTTATTAGGTCCAAAACAAAGGGGAAACTGAGGAAAGTGCAGGCAAGGAGCAGAACCTTGGGAGACACTTCAAAGACTTCTCCAAGTAGTAAATTACGATTTAGGAGAACTGCTTCATCTCTAGGATGACATTTATGGTAGGAGTGCATCTGCAGGAGTAAGATTCCTGCAGTTGTAGTCTCTATTTACTTAATTAGTGCTGGAGCTAAGGTGTCCTCAGTTGTGGCCTTATCTTGCCCTCTGAGGTATCTCTGGCCTCACAGGCCACTACAGGCCTCAGCCAGGACCAGTGATTCACAGAGGTTCACATTGCCAGGCAAGGGGCCCAGGCCCAGGACAGATTCACAGGTAAACATAGAAAGCCAATTAGTTAATTTTAAATCCTGCTCAGAGCCGCTTTGTAGTGGTCTCCAAAACTAACCTATGAGAGTAAAGGTTTCTGAAGTACTTATTGATGATCTTCTGTATTTCCATTGGATCAGTGATGATTTCACCCTTTTCATTCCTTGGTGCATGAATCTGAGTTTTTTGATAAGGTTGGCTAGGCACTTATCAACTTTATTTATCCTTTCAAACAACCAACTCTTTGATTCATTAATTCTTTGTATTGTTTTCATAGTCTCAATTGTATCACTTTCTGCGCTGATCTTCATAATTTCCTGCTTTCTTTTGGCTTTGGGCTTCCCTTGTTCTTCTTTTTCTAGATGTCTGAGGTGTATCTTATTGTTGCTTATTTGTGTTCATTCTGTTTTCCTTATATGAGAATTCTCTGCGATCAATTTCCCTCTGATGACCGCTTTCATTGTGTCACACAGGTTCCAGGAAGTTGTAATTTGCATTTTTGTTAACTTATTGTTTAATTTCTTCAACCATAATTATTTAGGACGCTATGTTTAATTTCCATGTGTTTATGGGTTTTTGTGGTTTCTTTTGTTATTAATTTCTAGTTTTATGGCATTATGGTCAGATAATATGCATGAGATAATTTCTATTCTTTTGCATTTACTTAAGCATGTTCTATGGGCTAGAATATGTTCTATTTTAAAGAATGCCCTATGTATGGCTGAGTAGAATGTGTATTCTGATGTTCTTGGGTGAAATATTCTGTACATAACTACTAAGTTCACTTGTTCAAAAGTTCAATTCAGTTATGTTATTTCTTTGCTAATGTTTGTCTACTTGATCTGTATCTTAGTGATAATGGGGTGTTAAGGTCTCCTGATATAACTGTATTATTGCTTATTTGATTTTTCATGTTTATTAATATTTATCTTATATAGCTGGATGCTCCTTTAATATACATATATGTTACACACACACACACACACATATATATATGTGTGTGTGTAACATTGTTATCTCCTCCCCTTGAAGTTTTTCCTTAGCCATTATGTACTGACCTTCTTTATCTCTTTTGATCATTCTTGGTTTGAAGTTCACATTATCTGCAAACAGCATAGCTACCCTTGCTTTTTTTTTTTTTTTTTTTTTTGATTCCTGTTGCATGATGTATTGTTTTCCATCCTTTGACTTTGAGCCTCTGAGTTTCCTTTTGGGTTAGATGGGTTTCTTGTATGCATCATGTATGGTTAGATTTTGTTTCTGATCCACTCTCCCGGTCTGTTTAATTGGTGAATTGAGGCCATTTATATTAGTGGTTATAACTGATATATATACTGCCTTATTTCTGTCATTTTGCCTTTATGCTGTTAGTTCATTATGTTTCTCCTCTGTTTGTTTGCCCAACTTCGTGTTTTTTTCTGTAGTTGTTCTTGAAGTTGTAGTTATTTTTATGCCTATCTAGAACATCTTTTAGTACTCTTTGTAGGGTTGTTTGTTGGTTACGAAGTTCTTCAGTTATTCTTTGTTCTAGAAGTATCTTATTTCTCCATCAGTTTTGAAAGATAGTTTTGCAAGGTCCATCAATTTGAGTTGGAAGTTTTCTTTCAGGACTTGAAATAGTTTACTCCATGTTCTTCTTTATCTGATTGTGCTGAAAAGTCTGCTATGATTCTAATGGGCTTTCCTTTATAGGTGATCTGTTTCTTTTCTCCAACAGCTTTTAATATTTTGTTCTTATGCTGGATTTCTGGGGTCTTGATTATCATATGTCAGGGTGTAGATTTATTTTGGTCATGGCTAATTGGAGCTCTATATGTTTTGCTTATCTGTAAGTCAGTTTCTTTTCCGATGCTTGGGAAATTTTCTGCTATCACTTCTGTTAATAGTCTTTTAATTTCATTTGTGTTGACATCTTTCATTTAAACCCATCAAATTTATATTGCTTTTCTTTGCCTCATAACTGTTGAATTGTTATGTCCTAGTTCTTTGTTATTTTTAAAAGATCTTTCCTTTTCTGATCAATAACTGCAATCTTGTCTTCAAGTTCTGAAAATCTTTCTTCACATTTGTTCAAGTGGTTTTGCCAGTGTTTGATGGAATTTTTGATTTCCTGGATATCTCTTTGAATCTGTTGCATTCATCCTAATTCTTTCCAGCATTGTTCATTTGAAGTTTCCTTCATATTCCAATGATGCTGTTTTTGTTTAAACTATGTCTTCTTTAGATGTGCTCAGCACTTCTTTTATTATCTTTACCATTTCTTGTTTTACCTGGCAGAATATTTTTTATCTGGTTTCCTTTTCAGCTTCAAAGAGTTGTTTCTTTACGTTAGTTACTATCATTTCAGAAATTACAGGTGTGTGACTTACATTTTCTTCTACATCCATGTCTCCTGGACTTCTTTGTTATGGGCTGTAGGTATGAGACTGCATTTTGCTCTTTTGTTTTGTAATTTTCTGTACTGCCCTGGGACAGTCAGATGCAAAGCCCCAGTTGCTTACTGAGTTGGTGATAGCTGTCCATACTGGAGCAGGTCTCCTTGGCTGAGTGGGGGTTTCTAGGTGGGCCTTTCCCTGACCTTATGTGGCTCAATGAGGCACCCTGGCTAGCTAGGTTTGCTAGGCAGGGCTTATCCAGGCTTTGTCAGCGCAGTAAGGCTCCTCAACTGGGTGGAGTTCTCCTGGGTTTACCCTCAGCATGCCCCATATAGCACACTGACACTCCCCAGCTGATTGGGTTTACTGGGTCTGATCAGTGTCTTTAAATTGAACAATTTTAATAGGTAGGAGTGGTATCACTTCATCAAAGATATACAATTGGCAGATAATCAGACAAAAGATATTCAAAATTAATAAATCAGTTTCTTTGTATCTAGTTCTAAATTTAACTCATAGAATCATTTGTCTTTCCTTTTTCTGTTGAAAAACTGTAGTCACATTTTCAGCTTATGCAGTTTGCCCAACATCAAAATGAGAGAATTTAGGAAGACACCTTGACAATAGTGAAACACAAATGTTGGCATATTAAGCAATGATCTACTGTGATAAATCAGAATCTCATCGTTAATATGTTTTTCATTGATGTGTAAGCTGATTTATCAAGCAATTTAAAATATGTCCTAGAGTTCACGTAAATTTTTGACCTCTCCTCTTACCATTCTGTAGAAAACATTATGATCATATTCACCTGGTGAACCTGAGAGAAGAGTGATAACAGGTCTAGAATAGTGAGGCAAACCTCTGTTGCTATATTGGCCTCTGTATCCACATGATGTACGATGTCTATTTCATTGGAATTGCCTACAAAAAGCAAAATAAAACAATACATAAGTGTCTAGACTATTTTTTATTGTACTTCACAGAGGATTTTCTTCTATTCCAGTATATCTGGTGTTTGCTGATATTTTTGGTTGATAATTTATTAAATCAAAGTGCTTTTGTTTAATTTCTTTATTGAGTAAATTACAAAATACTAAGCAGTCTTTCATGTGTCTGCCCTTTGTGTAAGTCAGCTTTGGGGCTTCATTATTTTTAGTTCGTTTCCATTAATTTTGTCACCAATAAGATCATATTATTTTTTGTAATCAGTTTCACTTAACCTTTATACTTCTTGGCTAGATCAAGTGAAGATCTCAGTAGGCAGTGGACACAAACAGCCCCCTTCAGAAAGATTCAAATATATTTGTATATTAAACCTTCAGACAAGGAATAGTGGGGTCATATGATCATAATTGCTAATATTTGCCATAAAATACTGGGTTCAGTTTTCCCTCATTCACAAGCAAGAATACATGCATCTCTAGATTCCAGATATTATGCTTAGTGTTCACAGGGCATGGGCAACACTGTTCTCTTCTAGAATCAAACAGTAACAATCTGTTTAAGAGATGCTTTATAATCCTCACAGTATCAAAAATCACTTGTTTCCAGGGAGGTCATGGTGGGCATATTCTACTGTGAATTTTATCTTTCTCTCACCTTTCCCATAAGGACACTACATCTTTTTCACCATTTGTTGGTGATTTCTTCCAAAAGAACCATTTCTAGGTCTGCAACAAATCTTAAAACAGTGCTTTTTACTATGGAAATCAGTATGGAGATTCCTCAAAAAACTAGGATTGGAAGTTCCATTCTGCCTGGCTATTCCCCTCCTTGGTATTATCCCAGAACAACTGAAAAGGTCATGGCACAGTGATATATGTGCACCTATGTTCATAGCAGCACAGTTTGTGAAAGCTAAATCTTGGAAACAACCGAAATGCCAATCAACTACAGAGTGGATAAAAAAAAAAAATTGTGGTACTTTTACACAATGGAATGTTATCCAGCTATTAAAAAGGATGATCTTGAGGCCTTTACTGGTAAATGGAGGCAAATTGAGAATATCATTAGTGAAATAAACAAGACTCTCATTTGTAAATATCCATCGTCTCTCTAGTGTAAAAAATAATAATAACTGGTAAAATAATGGTATCCAAAAGTATAGTAGATGTAAAAGTCTAATAGATATTGTAAAAGTTAAAGTGAAGGAAAGTGCTCTAAAGCATATAACGGTATGTATAATGTGTAAGATCGATGTTCATAATGCTAAATTTCTGTCAGATCATTGAACACATAAGTTTACACTGCCAATCTTTGAGCGTCCAGCCACATTTTATGCTTTGATTTTGTAACTTTAACAACTATTTTTAAGACAATAAGTAATGTATCAACTAGTGATTTTATGATGTTAATCTTTTTAAAATTCTGTATTCTCCTTTATATTGGTTTTTTTCTATTTTTTCTTTAATTTTCTTTTCTTTCTCTCTTTAAATAAAATTAAAAAAAAAACCAAAACTGGTTTTGCTGGCACAACGTTTCTTGCATTTACTGAACACATTTTACGCCCTATACTATACATATTTAGAAAACAACTGAGAATTATCTTGTTCCTATGATTTTCTGGTTTACTTACTGGTCATGGTATTGTCGAGCATCTGTAAGAGTTTGGGGTTAGAAAGTGCATTTTTGCCTCGGATTATGGGTAAAGTTTGTGATCTGTGCTGCTTATGCCCTTCGTGACCAGAAGTAGTGTGCATCCTGAAAATTCAATGAGAAAAGTGGTTTATGTTATTTGGGATTCTGTATCCAAATGTTCCTTAAAACATTCAATTTGACCAAGAAGTGGTAGGGAAGATGAAAAAAGAATAAAGATGTGTTACGTACATGTACAAATTCCCATGAAGAGTGTGATCATAATGTATTACACAAACATATCTTAGAATGAGTTAAACTTAAAAAAATTAATTTGAACAGTTTTTTTTAAGAATTCACTATAAGCATTATGATAAAAGTGACTTTTAAATGCTTTGGGGGGATGTTATTTAAGCCAAAATAGTATTTGGAAGGATAAGGTATAGAATAACTGACAGTTAAAATAACTTTGGTCAATACTTTTGATATTATTTGATGAAATCAAATGAGATCATGAATGTTGAGTGGGCTAGTGGAAGATCAACCGGTAAGTGCAATGTTGGGCATTAAAAAGTATAATATTATAAAGCTTGGATACATTAAACCATTCTTAAAGGGCAAAGATACACAATCTGATCTAAACCTTTGTTTGTCATGTCCTTGTTTTAATTTGGGTCACATTCATGGGGACTGGCATGTGGTTGCCAAGGTATCTGAGGGTCCTCTATGCCTCCAGTTTATCTCCATGGACAGTGACAATATCTTTCATTTAATGTTTCAAGGCACTTCCAATGGGGAAATTAACCAATGCCTTCATGGAATAGAATACTTTCTGTTTCTTCCTTTATGATTTGGCTAAGGAAAACTTGTTGAGTCTTGGGATATTTGCTGTCATACAAATCACTCATACTAGCACTTGTTGGGGGAAATCAGTCAATGGGAGATTCCCTTGAGAGTCAAACTTCAAAAAGATGCTATAGCTTTCTCTTTTCACATTCTTCATGGAGTTTTGGTTTGGGCAGAATCAAAGGGATTGGAGGGGTCAAAGCACAGGAAATCTGATGTTGGGTTTCAGTAGCCCATGAAGTGTGACTTGTTCCTGAAACTCCAAAAAGTAATGAATTCTGAACTATGGAACTTGAACATTCTGGATTCATTTTTCCCAGGGTTTGAGTCTACTGCAGGTCAGCGCTTATGGAAAAAATCCTAGTTTTTAGGAGATGAAGGGTAGATGGTGCACTGTCTACTCATTTCAGGGATGCCTAAAATTCAGCCCATCAAACATCTGCTTTGACCTTGAGTGGATTACCATTATCAGTAAACAAGGAAAGCAATTCAATACTGCCCTTTATTCTGCACCATTTCCAAAAGTGCTCAGTACATTTTAAAAATTTACTCAAAGGCAATTTCAAGAGGTCTCCAGAGATGAAGGCAAATTTTAGTTTATGATTTATTGACTATATACCACTTTTATATTTTCCTCTAAAACTCTTTCTAAAATATTTATCTTATGTATTATTCTAATACCTATGAGGAAAATAAATCAAACCAGAGAAAATTGAAGCAAACAATTCGTATTTATTAGACTCAGAGGAACTTTAAGGTGGAATTTTGGGGCAAATGTTTCCCATTGGGGAGGCTAATGAAGATGACTTCAGGTCATTTACACATGGAAAATCAAGTCAATGACTAGGAAACCTAATGCTGATAGAACCATTCATGCTTCCTGTTTTGAGCTTTAAAAAAAATTTCAGCTTTAAGAAAATTTCCAAAAGCAGTATAATTAAGAATAGGCAGACACGTTCACAAAATTTGTTTTGCCACTAGGAGATTAGCAAGAATTAAATGAGGCACTTAAATTATGTGTACTTCTCAGGTTCAGTTAAATTGAAATTTTCATTAGCACTCATTCGATTCAAGCATTGTATTGTAGCATTGTACTCTAAGTGCACATAAATGAGGCATAGTTCTGAATTCTTGTTTTTAAAGCTGGTGGGGCAGAAAAGAAAGTACTTACGAAATTTATTCAGGTAAGTACAGTTCCTTGAATTCTCCATTTGGTTTAAAATATTTTATTCTATCTATCATATATATCTGTCTATGCTTGTGTCTGTCTATTCACTTTTCCCTATGCATGCATACACACACTCACATACACATGAGTAATTTCATATAACAAGCAAATACGACATTACCATTGTGACAAGAGACCTGACGTCTGACAGGAAGGATTGGATCCTTTGAGAGTTCCGTTGTTCTGGGTGGACTGCACAAATTTAAATGCAGCAGCAATCTTTCTGCAAGGGAAACAAGTTTTGATAGTTTAGAACCTGTAATTTACATAGAAAAACAGATGACAACTGACCAGGTGATGACAGTGAAATAGTTGATGTTCTATCATACAGAGAAAAGTAACATTCCAATTTCTTTTGCAAGTAAGAAATTGGCATTGTGTACACTTTTCTTTCGTCTCTCATGACAAAATGATGACTGTACATACTATATGTATAGATAGATAGATATATAGATACATGGCACTCTTCAAACCTCTGTATATAATGTGAACTCAAAAATTCTTATTTGCAGTTTATGACATGTATTTGTAAATCTAACCTGATGCATTCACACATATCAGTACACTTTTTAAAGCACTACATTGACCTATGGGAATTTAAGATTATTACCTTATTATATTGCGTTTTCCTAGGTATCTGAAATTTTGAAGACAAACACTAGAAAGAAAGGGAAAAAAGATCACAGTCTAATTATTACCCTTTTACTTACACAAAACTGCTCATCTAAGTATACTGAAAGAAAAACATTAAATTTTCTTTAACTTTTACTACTGATAAACAATGTACTATAAAGGTTCTTGGAATGAAGTATGGGACCATGGGCTATTTTGAAGCTTTCAGATCAATGTGTTATCTAATGAATTTTATGGCTTACTCCAAGATGCTGAAGAAGTCAGACACCTCAGGACTGGGTGCTCTCTGCCAGTAGGCGATCAGAGTCTCTAGAAAAAAACACCACACAGCATGAGAGTCTCTGGAATGAAATATTTTCTCTCTTTCTTTTCTTAATGTGATTTGCAAGAGTTCTCTTTACCATCTGAAATTGTTTTCATAATGTGAAGAAAGCACATTAGGAGACTCCTGGTTTCTGCTTGATCTAACTTGTCAAATCGAAGAGTTGACCCAATCAAAGACAAAGGTCTTGGGATCTAGGAATTAAAGAACCAACAAAGACAGTTCAAATGAGAGTTTTCTGGCTTGCAATCCTGATAAGCCATCCATTTGGGAGTGAACTGTACCTTTTCACAGTTGTCAGTCTTCTCACTGCTCTTCTCATTGGTACTTGGATTGGAATCAATACTTGCTAACGATGCTCTGGAATCAGCATGGTTTACTGTAGAAATAGCTATTGATGAAAATGCTGCAAACACAAGCCACAGCACACGTATGACAATGAGATGCATGGGTACAGAAAAGAAAAAGCTAAAATGATGAACCCAAAAAAGATGACTATGATTGTTGAAGTGGTTATTGTGTTGTGAAAGTGTCTCAAAATAGAGTCCAGGATCGGCATTAAAGATATGTGACATTTCTAGGGTTATTACAGTGACCTTTAAGGACATAGGAAACAAGGGAAACAAACAAAGTAAGTGTGTTCTTTTGATCTCTTAAAGTGCCTTTTAAAAAATGTCTTAGTAAAAGTCCATAAAGATAATTTTAGGGAAGACATTTTCAACTTTTGACAGTTTATGAGAAATTAAAATGCCATATCAAAAATAGTTCATAAAAATAATCTTTAAAGCTGAAAAGCTATTATATTTTAAAAGGCTGCATGCAATAAAAACTTAAAGGCTTTTTCTACAATGAAGTAATTTGATAACATCTGAGCAGATTGCTCCTTAAGCCAAGCAAAGATGGACACTTAGTACAAGTGCAATCACTGGATGGCATTCAAAGAAATATGTAAAAAGTCTGGTTGTATTGATGCAACAGACTTTGCCAGATATATTATGCATATGAATTATGGATTGGGTAAAAAGCACAATGATCTACGATGTAAACACAGATGAATATTAAACACAAGTGCTTTTAAGTACCTGCTATGGAGTTTAAAACATCTTTAGAAAATGATGTATCCACAGAGGTTGCATGTTTCATAGATGTCTGGATTTGAAATCCTCCATTGGTGCTCAGGTCATCTCTAGACCCCTGTGTTTAAAGTGTTGAAGAGATTTATGGCAAGCAGAATATTTCAAATTGTCAACCCCCATATGCCTTCTTCATTACATTTTTAGTCAGATGACATTTCATTTGATCTTTTATATTCCAGCAAAAATTTTCTGCCAGAGTAGGCAATGAAAGTGCATATAGTCAAAACCATACTCTTAGTCACAATCTGAATTTCTTATATGATTTTTAATAGTGTAGTAGGAATAATCTTTGAGATATGGAATAAGTGATGGAGATAATTACTAATACAGTTATAGGTACAATATAGATTATAAGAATTATGCTGGGTTAGCTTATACATGTTCCTATCACTAGGGACTACATTATAAATAGTTGTTATATGCCATGCAAATTGTTCTTACATGCCAGATACACGATAAATGTTTTCTGTCATATGGTTTACCCTCATAAGGATTTTGTGATATGGATACTTTATCATATTTTATAAATAATAAAACAGAAGCTTAAAGAGGCTGGGTCACTTAACAAGAGTCAGATAGTAATTCATACTGCTGGGAATTGAATGAGGTACTCTACCAAAAAATTTTCAGGGGCCTGGCCCAAACTCCTGGATGGTTATGTTTTCCATTATTAGTGGACTTAGTGGCAAGCAAATCATCAAGGATGTGACACAAGCAATGGGTCTTATGTAGGTTGCTGTGCAGTCAGCATGGTGGCTCAGAGAAGGAATGATTATAGCAGTCTACCTTTGAGCCCTGACTACCAAAAAGGCACTTGTCCACACTGATACCACGGGGGTATAAAGCCAACGCAGACGTTGATGAGGGAAAGACATACACTAAGGGTAGGGCCATGAAGACAACACAGGAGCTCTAAAAATTGGAATTGGGGATTGCAGACAATGAGGGAGTACGAAAATACAACGCTAAAAAGAGAGAGCAAGTAGAAGCCTACAGTGATCAATCTAGAAACAATGATATTAACATGTCTCACAGGAAATATTTGTTCTTAATTTACTCACAGGTGGGAAGAAATGGCTATGCAGTGCGTAAATATAAACAGATAAATTCATTGTTAAGAAAGAAATTTGAAATGTTATGCAAACTTACCTGATTAGATGTATTGACTGTAAAAGGATACAGGTCCTTCAGGTAAATCCTTGGCATATTGTCCAGAAGCATGCCATACAGGGGCATGTATAAACTCGCTATCTGGGCTTGCTTTCTCTAGGTAAAATAGTGGCCAAAGAAAGAATCATGTAAAAGCAATAGGCTTGTAGGTTTGATATGCATTTAATGCAGAGAGCCATTAAATAGAGCCTAGGGAGGGAAGAAAGGAAGGACACTTACTGCTTCTCTGTATCGATCATCAAATGAATGCTTAGCCATTAGATTTTTTAGGACGGCTAAAGCTAAGTGCCTGATATCTTGATCTTCCTGCAGGGCAAAGCCAACTTCTCGGAGCAAAATTCCGATTAAGAAATGTTTGCGACAAAATTCATTTGTGACAGAATATTCAGGCATATCTTTGAGAGGAAACAAAAGATATCATGTTATTGGCAAGAAAAGTCATTTTATAAACAGTAAGGCAACTGTTTTTAATTCCTTCCACCACTAGGCGGGGTTCAGTAAAACAATATTCCTAAACATGAACCCTGTATCCTCTGGGAACATTAAGTAAGAGAGGGGAACGTTCTGTGTACAGAAACAAAAGCAGATACAAACGGCCAATTGCTCCAAAAAATGGCACTTTTACAATATTATAGGTGTTGAAACCACATATTCTGTCTGTAGGAGATGGGAAGTGTTATAGGAAAGGATATGCTGAGCTGGGCCTGTAAAGATGCTTAAGACTTGGGTGTACAAATATCTGAGGGAGCAGATGGACGCAGTGGGTATAGGACAGGAAATTGGGGGTCAGTAAGCACAGCCACCCAAAGAGGAGTGGGAAGAATTGAGGCTTCAGGGGTAGGATGGAGTTAGATGATGGAAAAACTTGAATACAAATTCCTCTACTGTAATTTATGTCCTGCAATCATTTACATTTCTGTAGGAAAGGTTAAAACACTAAGGGTTTTGAGGCCAGTGACCTCCTTAGACTTGTGTTTTACTTACTTAATAAGATGGATGCAGGATATAAATGAATTCGAGAGTAGGGAGAGAAGAGAGAGCTACATGATACAGAAGAGGAAACAGGACAGAGACGGTGTAATGACTGGATTTGCAGGAACTAGGAATTCAGCAGTAGAGGTAAAATCAGGACAGGCTGCTTTATCAGGGAGGCTGTGAGGAAGCGATGCGAGAGAAGAGACAGGGCGCCCTTTGGCTACAGGGGCTACAAAACATGCAGCTGGAATAATGGAAAAAGATATTATAATTTCCAGTAATAATGGATTTATTCAGAATTGTTTGATGTGTGTTCCTTTGGTCATCGCTACCTCATTTTTAACTTCTTTTTCATAATTTTTGTTTTCAGTAGTACATTGCTGTAGTACATAGTGAATACGTTCCAACTCCCTTGCGGGAGTTGGTACATGTATAGAACACATCTTAATTCTTTGTATGACCTCTTCCCCTCCCTTCCTACCCCCCCTCCATCTCTTGGTCCATTTTCTACTTGCAAATTCTATGAGATCAATTTTTTTATACTTTTATGTTTCACATGATTTCACTCATGTGGTCCCTGTCTGGCTTATTTTAGTCATCATAATGATCTCCAGTTCCAGCTAAGTTGCTACAAATGGCAAAATTTCATGTTTTATGGCCGAATAGCATTTCATTTGCGTTATCCATGTGCCACCCTAAGCTGTTCCCATGTCTTGGCTGTTCAGAATAGTGTTGTGATAAACATGGGAATGTGTGTCTCTATGACATGCTGATTTTAAACCCTCTGGATAGGTATCCAGTAGTGGAATTGCTAGGTCTTATGACAGTTCTGTTTTTAATTTTCTGAGGAACCTCCACTCTGCTTCCCATAATGGCTATCCTAACTCTTATGGCCATCAGCAGTGTGCAAGGGCTCCTTTTTCTCCACACCTCCTCATTGGCACTTGTTTTCTTTAGCTTTTTTGAAACGAAATCAGTATCTTGAAGAAGTATCTTCACCCTCGTATTTATTGGAACATTATTCATAATGATCAATATATGAAAACAAACCTATGTGCCCCTTCATAAATGAATGGACAAATAAAATACAACATAATATTATTCATAGGGAACACTAATGCTAAATGAAACAGGCCAAATATGGAAATAAAAATACTGCAAGATATCATATATATGTAGAATCTAAAAATAGGTAAATTCAGAGAAGCAGAGAGTAGAAAAGCAATTGGCAGGGGCTAGTAAATGAAGAAGGGGCTCAGAAATTTTGGTTAAAAGGCATAAACTTTTAACTATAAGATGAACACATGCTGGAGATTAAATGTATAGCATGGTAACTATAGCTAATAATAAAATATGGTATAATATAATATAAAGTTGCTTATAAAAATAGGAGGTGGGGTGCATGCCTTTAATCACAGCGTCCTGGGAGATACATTCAGTGGGATCACGAGTTTGAAGTCAGTCTGGGCAACTTAGAATGATCCTATATAAAAATAAAGTTAACCAAAAGAGCACAGAAATAGCTCAGAAGCTCAGATAGCATATGTGAGGACACAGATTCAACAACCCCGAGTAGTCATACTGAAAATATGCACTTTATATGGGAAGTCTATTTATGGCATACACTAAGAAAACTTCAGATGCTTTGAGAATTTATAAAAAATTATTGTTAGTAAATTATGAAATAATTGAAGTCAGAGAATCATTACATTACCTGTGGCAAAATAAAAGTTCAGTTACCCTTTTGAATAGTTTACATATTACAGACATGGCTCTTAACTACTACATGAAAGCTGTTAAGTTGTAATATCTGTATTACAATATAAATTTTATTTACCTGAGGCATGTAACTCTTGAATTGATTCTGAAGGTGTCAAAGGATCTAGATTTAATATAAATAAACAAAATGATTAGATACATGTATACTTAGACATACACACATACTCATTAGCTATGTATTATTTATATTGGAAAATTAAAATATATTCTTTAAATTATAAATAAATCTCAACATTCCCATCTTTCAAGAATATCTTAGGGTGGTTGTTTCCCTAAAAAAGAATGTCACGAAGGGAAACATTTTAATTATTAGCCCTGAATATATGCACATATTTTTCTAACAAAAATATGCCTGCTGTGAAACATATTTATATACTCAATGTTTAGGGTATCCAACATTCAAAAAGATGCATTAGACCTTTTCCTGAACTATTCATTCATAGCTACTGGAAGCAAAATGACTGATAAGAGTTTGCCCTGTTGAATATCTGAACCAGCTTAGCTGACCAATAATGACCTCACACTAATTTAGAAAACAAATTCAAATCAGAACCACAAAAAGTCAGAAATTGTTATAGTACAATATATCATATTTGTCTCTTTTTGTTTGGAATGTGCTTTATATATCAGAAAACAATGAGATAATATACATAAGTTGTATTTAAGATTAAAGTGCCAAAATGTTTATAGATTTCATAATGTAATTTTCCTTCTAAAAATTAGTATAAGCTATAACAGTTACAAAAGGTTCTATATCATCTTAACTTCTGCTTTAATGAATACGAAAATCATGCCTTCTGCATAGTTTACACATTGCTTAGAAGCATTTCAAGTTCCTAAGTTGTTTCAATATTTTCTTTTTCTTGTTGTTTGATTACTTTCTGATGTCTAAATGAGTAATGCTCATCCTCTATCATGACTTTCCTGTTTTTTAATTTACAAAAGTAATACACGAAAATAACCTGTAGACTATTTCTGCGCTAGTAAGTATAGCAAACAAAATATGAAGCTCTGTTCTCACCTCTACATACAACCTCGTCTTCTCTTTGGTTTAAGTGAGGGTGCCAGATGTTTATGTTTGCCTTCCCTCTTCCTCCGCTTCGCCTCCCCTCTCCACCTTCTCCTCCCCTTTCCCTTCCCTTTCCTTCTCTTTTCTTACTTCCCTCCATCTCTCCCTTCCTTGCAATGTAAGGGTTTTTTTCCTTGTACAACTTGTTCAGGATAACTTGCTTTAACAAAATTACATGTATTGAGTGACAATCCTAAATGAAACCATACTCAAAAGTGTAACTTTTTCTTCCTGTAATTTTTATATCTAGAAATGTATATAAAACTGTCTTTTGGAATTAGTAAAGTGTAAGGCAGTATGTTTCTAGGATAAAATTCTGTTTTGGGTTTGTTTTTTTGCCTTGTACCTTTTTAATGTTTTTTTAATTTTTAGAGAGAAAAAAACTATTAAAAATAATGGTACAAAATTTCAAAACAAGATAGTAGGAGGGTAACGATGGTTAATACATTGCATACTGTCTTCAAAGTAGGTGTCAGATTACAAGTTATAGGCATGAAACATGGATCAAACAATATAAGCACAAATCATTCTTTTCAATGAACTAATAACAATTAGTAGTATACCTATCTTAACTATTATATATATATGTATGTGTATATATAAACAATTTCAGCTTAGAATTTTGTTGACTTTCTCTTTAATGAAGCGAAAAGGATAAAAATGAAGAAATATAGGGTTGTACTCATCATGCCAACAACTTCTTTCACATTTTCTCCAGATTACCTGGCTCTGACACCTGTGCTACAATTTCAGATAAAACCATGACTGAGGAAAGAGGAAAACAGTATAAAAAAAAAAGGCAAAGAATGAATATTCAGTTGAGAGAAACTAAGCAAAACATGGAAATGTGTGTTACCTGGAATTTTTGATGATCTTATGGGGAGACACAAAGGAATAAAGTGCTCATATTGACACACTTCTTGAATAAAATCAAATTTATACTGGCATAAGGTCTGAAAAAGAGGCAAACTGAATGACTACTATTTATACATCAATAAAGGTAATGAATACAAACAAAACATCTCCACTTGAACCTCATCCCTAAAAGAAGTAGTTACTTTCATGTGATGACTAAGCTACTTTCACATGCGAAAGGTTCTGTTCCCTCTGCAGTGGGCTCTGTCTTTGAAGACTGCTCAGAGCCTCCTCAGGAAATGGTCTCATTTGTTACCTACAATTGGCTTCCATGAGCTAAGATCCTGCTTGCTGTTTGTAGCTTCTCTAAGCTTACATCATAACGTGGGATGATATATGTGAGGAAAGTCTTGCTGTATCACATGTACAGAACTCCTTCAAAAACTGACTCAAATCATAAAACAAATTCTACAAGCAGAAGGCAAGATCTGGGGCAGATCATCTAAAATTAGACCTAAACTCTCTATGTCACTCTGCTGCTGAGCGTATGTTATTTAATGGCTTTTTATTTACTGCCTAACTGAAAGGTCTGTCTTTTCAGTAAGATCTAAATGTGGAAGTAATAAAGTTTGGACATGTCTGTGAGGCCTCTGACACATGTATTGTGAAGAATCACACCAGTAGGAACAATTGGCACATTTATAATTGCCCTAGATTTCCTCTGATACATGTTAAATAATCATTCTTTAAGACTTAAACTGTCATTACTATATCCACTAATATCAGCCCACAAAATAAAAGATTTCCCACATTCTCTGATATTTTAGAATTATGATTTGTGGCAACATTAATAATTTAAAATCTTGCCTTTGCAAATAAGGACAGCATTTGATCATACTTTTGTACAGTGAAGTCAATAGGAATGTAATTATTTATGTTAATTATCCTTCACTGAGAACAACCTGTTTGGTCTTTGGAAAAATGTACAATTTAGGTCTACTGCAGTTATATCTAAATGAATACAGATATATCTAAATATCTAAATGAATACAGATGTCATGTACAATAGAAGCACATGTAGAGAACATTCTTTCAAGAAAAGTTTAGGGAATTGGATTTTCAAAATCAAATGACACATAACCAAGCATAATTCTCCATTCCAGAACAATGTTTAAGCTCCTAAGCATGACCTAAAAGTTTAGAATTATGACTATTTAGTTTTGGGTTTTTAAAATCTATTGTTCTTCTCCAACGTAGATAATTTCCTCTTGGGGAATTGCCTTTTCTCAATGGAAATTTTAATGGGGAATTTTTAAATTCAGGAGCCCTTGGTTTTCTTCCTTATAAGGCAGGTATAAGACCCAACACAAATCTATTCCCTGCTTCCTTTATGGAATTTCAACCTGAAGCTGATTATTGAGATGAAAAAGATGGCTCTAGCTGATTAATTTTGTAGCAGCATTAGCAGCAGCCCCCTCCCCACTACCACCCTGGCCAGATGGTCCCTCATTTGTGCTCATACCTGTGCTCTGTAAAGGGACTGGGCCTTCTCTTTTCAAAGCCTGCTTCTACAGCTGTTTCTTCAATGCTATTTACTCCCAATATCCTTCCAAAAACTCCCTTTTGCTTGAGTTGGAGTCAGATTCTGTTGTTTGCAGCCCACAGATACACCTGATATAATACTCTTGATCTGCTTATTTCTAGCCCTCATTTTCTCCAGGACATTCCACACCACATCTCTGTGGTCTTTCAACTTGAGAATGCCTGGGAATCGCCTGAAAGTCTCATTAAGACAGATATACTGGCCCCTGTGATTCTATTCATTGGCCTAAGAACCACACTTGGAGAACTATTGCTCTGGCCTACCTTTGCAATCTCTCTGACACACATTCTCTATAAGGTAGTATGAGCAATCCAAATGGGTTGCCCACTGTGTTCAGGAATAAGCGTTCCCAAGTAAGTAAGACTTTCAGTGCAAAATCTAAGAGAGACAAGCATAAACCAGACTATAGAAATTACAGCTGAAGTGAGACACTCCCTTTTCCACCAACAGAAAATAGAAATGAAGTGCAAATACTCTTGTCCACTCCCTTGCCTCCATTAAGGAAGGACTTGGGAGACTTAGTAGATTGAGCTTTTAAAAGGCTGCATCTTCTTGATTTAGATATTATTTTCCATACAGAACATGGATAGGCTAATATTTAGGCAGATATAAACAGAAATCAATTTATTAATTTATAATGCAGAGTTTAGCAAATAATTACCCTGCCCTGTGATTCTTACCTTCAGCTCCCCGGAGGAAAACATGCTGATGTAATTGTTAACTATCCTAAATACAAATCCTCGGTCCATGAATGTAAAGCAGCGCTAAAAAGGATAAAATTCTAAGTTCAAACATTTGCACTCAGGGAATCATGAAAGATTTTAGAAAAAGTAAGTATATATGTTGAAGCAAATTAACACATTTAGCTAAACGTGTTGCATAAGAGTCTTTAAAAATCTCTAAAATATGCTTAATCACCCATCCACAAGTGGAAATTCATTAGAATACTAGACAGCATATTTTACAAATCAGAAACTTGCAAACCTTTATGTGTAAATTGTCTGAAACATTTCCTGGAATTTTTCAATGCAGTGTTATATCCCTTATCTTTTCGTATAGAGAAGTACAGACGTTAGTTGTCTTCTGAACTACTTGGTTATATTTTATTCCTGCTCCTTTTAGTAATTTGGTTCTTCAGTTGCTCGAGTGGAGACTGCTTGCTGCACAGCACTAAGCACGAATGGGAGGTGCTGAGATGGGTCTGGAAGGCATCTTTAATTCCATAGGACACTTTAAGAGAGCAGCTCTCTTTTTCTCCCAACAATGTTCAAATTTGAAGAATGAAGGAAGGGGAAGAAAGCCTAAGATTTCACTTAGTGCGCTCCTCATGGTCTTTTTCCTTCTGCTGTCAAGTTGTCTTTATCGCAGCAAGGACAATCTTAGCATGTAGCTTTGGAGGAGCACCTGCACTTGCTTTCAAACACCAATATCCATCTCATCTGTAACCAAGTTGTACTAGTCCACAGAGCACTGGAAACCAATAAATTAGGAGGCACTGACCATATTTACTCATGGACTATCTTGACGAGGCACCTTGACAGATTGCTGTGTGGATTTGTCACTTGGCAGTCAAGTTTTATTTCATTCATTCTCAGGTATAGAAGCACATACTCTACTTGGAAATGATTAACGGTGCTGTACATATGTTGTGCCATGCATTTCTCTCTTGCCCAGAGAGTTAAGATAATGCATTTCAATAGTTTTACACTTCTTGTTTCTCTTCTCAATTTTACTCTCAATTCGATTTTCTCAGAAAGGCCTAGATATAAAATATTGCTATAGATAGTGTACCAAGTGAAGATTCTCCCACTGAAATACACCTGTGTAGAAGCAGGGGCAATTTTCTCTAACAAGGTTATTCTACTTGTTAAGTCATTTCTGTTCTTATTTTACTTTCAAGTTTTCTTTTGAGTTTTGTAGTGAACCTATTCATCATTGCATAACTATATTACTTCATTTATATTTTCACTTTTACTGTAAATTTTTGTTCAGCAGGGAGGATGACATGTTTGCTTCCATCTCCCGACACAGAGTGGAAGAGGTAGATGGAAGAATCATGGCCTTCAAAGAAAGACAGAGAGCACTAAGGGGATGAGGGATGAACACCTGTGCCTTCTGTGCAGTGCTGGATCCTGGCAGATGTGTGATCCTCCCAGGCTCTGCATCTATAGGTAGATATTCTAATCTGGCCACTCTTGCAATATCCCCATCTTGGAGCTCTTTCTAGGAAAACTCTGCTAGTTCCTTCCTGCGGAGAAGGGGTCCTGATCTCACTATGCAGAGAGAGGAACACCCAGGACATCTCTGAGCACTAGAAATTTCTTAGGAAAAAGCAGGAGAAACAGGGCCCTGGAGAATCTTTGGTGAAAATGTAAAAGTCCTTTGAATTCATGGAATAAAGTCTAGTGAGTCCTGTCATTGAACCAGACTAGGGTAAATGCCACATCCTAGGGTTGACTGTGGCTACTCTAAAGATCAGACCTCTGAGTTCTTGAAGAGGTCTGTCTCTAGCATCCATGAGTAGGGACGATGGGGAAAAGATAGGTACCAGGGAGCAAAAAAGCCAAGTTGAGGCTTCTTGAATTTGAAAAAAGGCTCCTAAAGTGGAAGCTTGCCGTGCTCTTTCCAAGGGACAGACACAGAAAGAAAGGGGACTATTCCTAGGATGTGAGGCCATTGGAGTTAGTCTTCCTTCTGCAAAAGTCTTCCTATAGGTTCAGCTTCGCCAAGTGTGTGATGAGTCCTGTGTCCTTTTCCTCCTGCCCATGGCTGAGGCTTGGGGAGAGGAATTTTTGCTTTTGTTTTCACATAACTTATATTAACTTTGTAGATGAACTCAAGGGAAATTACAGCAGGTTTTGGTAAACTAAGGCCCATGGGCCAAAGCAGGCTACTACCTGTTTTATACAAAGTGTTTTCTTGGAACACAGCTGTATTCGATCATTTACATATTTCTAAATGTTTGTCACTCTTTCAGAGCTATAACAACAGAGTTGAGTAGCTGTGACAGATTATATGGCTTAGAAAACTTAAAATATTTAGCATTTGTAATTTACAGAAAAAGTTTGGTGATTCCTGATTTACATAATATCATATTCTATTAAACTTTTGCTCAGTTTGATTAGTAAGCTAAAGGTCAAATATTCTAAGTTACATTAAAAAAGGTATTATTATAATAAAAAATGTTCATTTTAGCAAGCCTGAGAGTAAGGAAGAATTAACTCTATAATTGGTTCAAGGATGAGTTACAGAATTCCAAATTATGAAAAGGATCCACAAGAATGCCCTTGTCATGTTCTTCTGTATTTTACAAAGCTAATAGTTCCATCATTGCCCCCTGGACACTTTCCCTTTGTCCCCATATTGGACATTAGCTTATGCATCAATGATTGTGAAGATGCGATCAGTGGAAAACAGTCACTCATTACCAAAGTACAGAGTAAACCAAATATAGCAGATATGAGGACTCTGCCCTTTCCAGAGACTCACTGGTCCATCATTTTTTAAAAAACACATTTACTAAGATATCAAGTTTATATCTTATATTATTTCAAAATGTTTTCTAAGAACTAGTTGAAATAAAGCAGGGGACCGTAGAGTGAGTGGGGAAAAGGATACATGTATCTAACCAGAAAGATAGAAATCAGAATGAACCTGTCTCTGCTTGGTAGTGTGCCTTACAAGAAAAGTGTCTAAATAGGTATGCTGAGGTAAGTGTTATAATCCAGTTTGGTAACAAAAAATTTAAAACGACTCATAGGTTATGATGGATCCATTCAAACCCTATCTACTTCGAAGATACAACAGCAAAAACAAAAATGTACAAGATTTTTGGCCTAATTGCTGTGAAAATATTACTTCACTATGAAGTAGAGTGAGGGAAGATACTTATTAGTCCAAAACATTTTTTTTTTTTACTTTTTATATGTACCATTTTCCAGATGTTCACTTCATTCCTGGAAAACATTCTTGGCACAACCTCAACACTATAACAATATTTTAATTGTTAAACTTCAATGGTGATAGAGTCACAGTATTTAACTACTAACGTCTAACTATTCAAAGAGATAAAAGTCATATGCAGTTCATGTGAGCAAATAAATATTATCAAATGCTGGGAATGCAAGAAATTTACCCCAACACAGGGAATGGACAATGTCAAACTATTATAAGTTCAAACTTAATTTCTTAAAACTGTGCCAAATGATAACATTTAGGTTTCAAAAATTACTTTTCCCTTTTTTTCTCATCTAGTTCTAATGACTTATTTAATAAGCCTTCCAAGAAGTTTCTTTTCAATATTCTTTGTTAACAAATGTTATTACAACTACAATTTAAACATGATAGAGTATGATGGACTTTTAAGATGTAGAATATATTGAGCTAATCTTTCTATCCATAAACTTCTCATTATGTGTACCAGTTCAATTTCAAATCCACTTGATCTACATATGTCATCTATTTGTTTATCTGTCGTGAATCTGGGTTTTTGATTTATGGAGTCCATCAAAACACTGGTAGTGCCATTTCCTTTAATACTGAGCATTTTTTACTGCCCCCATCTGAGATATTAACTTATGTACCACCACCAGTAATCTCTGCATCAGTAAGCACTGAGGAAAATTCATTCATTTCAACAATTACAGAGCATTTAAGCCAAGGGTAGTAGATACGATATCTTTTATGTTTTCTAAAGACTTGCTTATTCATTTTTTCTTTGTAGTTTAGGAAAGACTATTGCAGACATTTCTATATTGTGCTTACAAACTGGACTAAGTATAATTTTCCCCCAAATTTCCTACTTTTCTAAGCACTTTAAATAAACTACTGGCATAGCAATAAGCTTTATTCGTATAGGTGTTAAAATATGGTAGAAAACCAGAGTAACTTTTTTTCTTTACCTTTTATCCCTGACCATCCTTTTCTTTTACCAGAACAAGAGAAAGAAAAACACAAGAGGCAAGGCATTGAAGAAAAGCATACATTCATGATAAGAACAAATCTAGTGTATAATTTGATAAAGTTTTTAGCACGTTTAAGAAAGATTTAGTTTGGATTAAAGTTCACCCAAGAAAACTCAGGTTAAGTTTCCATATACTTTATGTTTCTTAATTTCATATTAACATTAGTTTATAAATTACCATTGTTGTCAGAATGCTGTGATGTCTAGAATAAACAAAATGTTTTTTTTCAAATGTTATAGTAGTTAACAGTTGGATAAGAGGAAGAAGAGAAGAAAACCATCGTCTTCCTAAGTGTATTATCTGTTAAGTGATACTCCATAATTTTGCATATTGACCTTTTTGATTTTGTATTTTTTTCTCAACTTAATATGATTACCTATAATCTGAAGAAATATGACTAACTCTCATATAAATCCAGTCAAGGAAGTTCTGATGCCTAATTTGACAATTTTCCTTTTATATGTTCAGCACGTGATCTTTTCATCATGTAAAAGAAAGTTTAGTGGAAATATAACTAATGAGATAAATTCTCAAATGTTTTCCCAAAGTGGTTATTTTGTATCATTATCACACCTGACACTGATCTAAAATGTCACCCCAAAGGCAGAAATGCCAGAGAGAATAATATTGCCAAAAGGAGGTATCTTTTCAAACATTTAACTTTTCTCCTTAAAGATACTCAGCAGTATTTTGCTTTGGTAACACACAAATGTATACTTTTTTTAATCTTAGTGTTTCTTCAATGAGACTTCAAGTTATAAAAGATAATAAAGTTATTCACTCCTATCACAGAGATGTGACACAATTAACATTTTAAGTATCTTGCACCACCATCAAATTATGCCTCACAGAACTGTACCTTAAGAAATCTGGCAACACTGTGGTTTGCTCTTTTTGTTTCTTCAAGTGAATCTTTGTATTTCCAAATCACGTGGTCACACAGGACCATCACAAGATTGTCCAATTCATTTTGGTAAGATTCAGGAAATCTTTGAGTCCGGGAAAGCTAAGGAAAGAACAAATTATTTATAATGTGACTTATGAAGTCGGACTTCAACAGGAACTAAAATGAAAGATTTACTTTAGAGATTGTCAAATAGAGAGTTCTTTGAAAACTTGACAGCAATATTAAAACAAAAACTTTTTAACTTCAGACTAATACTTTCCATCATATTCATTTAAGGTCCCTCTCTATTTAGAACAATGCATTTGCACTTTCATCAAAAAGTAAATCATAACATGTTAATTGCAAACTCTTCAAATATAAAATGTACAAAGTACCATATGAACCATCTTGTGACTTATCACATCTTAATACCCTTCTCTTGTCTCCCAAAAAATAACTACTATTAAAAACCTAATGAGTATTTTTCTGACCTTTTTGAACACATAGTTCTACGTAATTAAAAATACATTTCTTTAGTGAATCAGTGCCATGCGTGGGATGCTGGGGAACAACCGGATGCCAGCCTTTTCTTGTGAGTCAGTACCATTCACGGACTGTGCGGGAAGAGAGCAAGAAGCCACCAAGAAGCAAGCCCTCCCTGTGAGTTGGCGCTATGCACAGGCCACTGATGGGACAGCCAGGCGCCTTCTGGTGCATGGGCTGAGAAACAAGAAGAGCCAACTCCCTCTCCCTGGCTGTAAGCAACTAACTGATCTGGAGAAACACAGCTGTGATGATAGCTGTTCAGGTAAAATATAACTTAATGCTTGTAGTGTTTAATGTTTCACTGACTTTGCAGGTCTAAAGACAGTAGTCTCATCATCCATTCAGAGGACAGCAATAAGCAATGTAGCATCTTTGGGGGAACTCTTTCTGAAGATAGTAGTGATTGTTGACTCCCTACAGTCTTGTTTTGAGGTCCTGTATCATTTTCAGTGTTTTGCTTTATTGGATTTTATTCTGTTTTGTTTGATTTCATTATAGTCGATGGCATGGGCAGCTATTTCAAAGATAACAAGACCTATTATGGTAGCTATTTTGGATTTACTATTATCTTGTTTTGAAGTCTTTTATTGCATGCATTTTGTTTTTACTGGTTCTATTCTGTTTTGTTTTGTTTGATTTTTACTCAGTCTAAAGGGATCTGTAGCTGTTTTGAAGAAAACAAGAGGCATTTTTTGGTAACTATTGTTGATTTCCTATTGTTTTGAAGTCCTGTATCATTTACACTGGTTTATTTTGATTGGCTTTATTTTTTTTTATTTGCTTGGTTTTATTCTCTTTAAAATAAATAATAATAATAAATTTCTTTGATTTAAAAAATCAAGTATCCCTCTCAGTAACTAAGAAATCAATGAGTGAATAATGGAATGAGCATAGGTATGGTATTGGTCTGAAATGCTCTCTGATAACTGGTGTATCCTGATTATTATTCACTGTACAATCTCAGGACAATACACAGAAACAGGTGTCTTAAGGGCCTCAAAATCAAGCTGTTGTAACACTGGATAAGAAAGGCATGGCTTAGAGATGACGTAATAATTTAATAAAACTTTAAGAGTCTTCTTTGGACTTCTGCACATGACAGTAAAGTTTGAGATGGCTAAGTTGTGACTACTTGAATTTATACAGGCTTTTATTTAAGACAGATAAGACTCATTAATCTTTACAAGTGGCTTTAGATAGGTCTTTTGCAAAAGGAAAAGGGGCCAAAAAAAGGAGTGAGGAGTACAAAGGAGGAAAGAAATATTTCTAAAAAGTTTAAAAATGATACATACATACATGTTTCTATAGGTGCATTTTTGCTATAAGAAAAAAGAATTTAGAGTTAGACAAAAGCTTTCTTTCTTCCTTCCTTTTTAAAATTTTTTTATTTTAAAGAGATTAAGACAAAAGAGGGCATAACAAAGCAGATCAGATCAGAGCGATGCAAGCAACACAGCATTTTACCACAAGACAACCCATAATTTACAGTAACTACCATAATGTCTCTTTCTTTGAAATATTTGAGCATAGCTGTCTATACGATAGTATTAAACATAACAAAAGAGTATAATACCATTCAAGAGAATGAAAGCATTACAGGGCATTCAGAATCAAATGGCAGAGAACGAAAAATGGCTACTATATTATCTCATTTTCCATAGAAAATGTGTTTATACTATCACACATAATAATATTCAACGAGATGTAACATGATAGAACCAAAGGAAACAGAAAAACAAAAGCATAGCAGGACTTCAGAGTAAGATAATACTAATTCAGCTCTGGCTATTCTATTGTCTTGTTTTGTTCAAAATAGCCGTTAATACTATCACAGATAATAAAATCAAACAAACTAGGATAAAATAATTCCAACTAATGAATGCAGACATTATAAGGCTTCAAAATAATGTAATGGAGAATCATGATTACCATAAACTCTTATGTACTCTTACTATTTATCACACTAGGGAGACTATACGGTATTTATATACATGATTTATTTCACTTATGAGTATGGTCTCAAGTTGCATCCATTTATTTATAAATATACCAATGTGATCATTCTTTATAGCTGAGTAGTACTCCATTGTATAAAAATACCACATATTTTTTAATCCATTCCTCAGTTGATGGACACTTAGGTTGTTTCCAAGATCTGGCTATTACAAATTGTGCTGCTATAAACATGGGTGCACATATATCACTGTGGTGTGATGTTTTCAGTTCTTCTGGGAATATGTCTAGAAGTGGAATAGCTGGAACAAATGGGACGACCAATCCCAGCTTTTTGAGAAATATCCAGACTGACCTCCATAATGGTTGCACCAGTCTACACTCCCACCAACAGTGCAGGAGAGTTCCTTTTTCTTCACAGCCTCTCCAGCATTTGTTGTTGGTAGTTTTCTTGATCCTGGCCATTCTTTCTGGAGTGAGATGGAATCTCAGTGTGGTTTTAATTTGCATTTCTCTAATGAGTAATGATGAGGAACATTTTTTAATGTATTTAGTTGCCATTTGTATTTCTTCATCTGAGAAGTGTGTATTCATCTCAGATGCCCATTTTTGGTTTGGGTCTTTGAATTTCGGAGTCTGATTTTTTAAAAATTCTTTATATGTTTTAGAAAGAAGTCCTTTGTCTGAGTGGCAGTTCACTAAGATTTTTTCTCAGTTTGTGGGTTTTCTTTGCAGTATGCTGGAGATTTTTTTTGACACGCAGAAACTTTTTAATAAGATGTGATCCCAGCTATGGATTCTAGGAAGTATTTCCTATGTGGTTTGATTCCTGTTCAGGAATTCTCTACCTAACCCCATGTCTTCAAGATTTTTACCTAATTTGTCCTCCAACAGATTTAGTTTTAATATTCAGATCTTTGAAACATTTAGATTTTAGTGTAGTATTTAGTGATAGGCATGGGTCTAGTTTTGGTTTTTGGCATGTGGAGAGCCAGTTTCTCCAGCACCATTTATTAAAGAGACTGTGGTTCTTCCAGTGAACATGTTTGGCCCCTTATCAAAGATAAGGTGGTTGAGTGTGTTGGTAGCTGTGGTTGTATCTTCTAATCTATTCCACTGATCTTCAGATCTGTTTTTATTCCAGTACCATATTGAATTTTAGGAATGATTTCTCTAGATCTATGAGGTATGTTGATGGTATTTTCATTGAGACTGCATTGAATCTGTATGACAGTTTTAGGAGAATGGCCATTTTTATAATATTTATTCTTCCTATCCATGAACAAGGGATGTCTTTCCATTTTCTGAGATCAACTTCAATTTCTTTTTTCAGGGTATTATAGTTTTCCCTGTATAGATCTTTTACTTCTTTTGTGAGATTAATTTCTAAGTATTTCATTTTTTTTTTTGGAAGTTAGTGTGAAGTGTGTGGCTTCTTTTATTTCTCTCTCAGGGATTTTATTGTTAGTGTACAGAAATGCTATTGATTTTTGAATGTTGATTTTGTACTCAGCTACATTGCTGAATTTATTTATTATATCTAGGAGTCTTTCAATGGAGCTTTGGAGGTCTTCTATATAGAGTATCATGTCATCCACAAATAATGATAATTTAAGTTCCTCTTTTCCTATCTTTACTCCTTTTATTTCTCACTCTTGTCTTAATGCTCTGGCTAGTATTTCTAGTATTGTGTTGAATACGAGTGGTGATAAGGGACATTCTTGTCTTGTGCCTGATTTGAAGGTAAAGGCCTTCAGTTTTTGGCCATTTAATATGATGCTGGCTGTTAGTTTGTCATAGATGGCCTTTATCATATTGAGGTAGAGACCATCTATTCCAATTTTCTGTAAGGTTCTTATCATGAATAAGTGTTGACCTTATCAAAAGCTTTTTCTGCATCTATAGAAATGATCATGTGATTCTTACTTTTGGCTTTATTGATACGGTGGATTACATTTATTGACTTACATATGTTGAAACATCCCTGCATGCCTAGGATGAATCCCACTTGGTCATGGTGTATAATCTTCTTGATGATTTGCTGCATCCTGTTTGCCAGTATTTTATTGAGGATTTTTGCATCTGTGTTCATTAGGGAGATTGGCGTGTAGTTCTCTTTTTTAGTGGGTCTTTTTCAAGTTTTGGTACTAGAGTAGTATTTGCTTCCAGGAATGACTTAGGAAGAATTGGTTCCCTTTTGATTTCATTGAAGAGTCTGAGGAGTGTCCACATTCAATCTTCTTTGTATTTCTTGTAGAATTCCACAGTGAATCCATCTGGGCCTGGGCTCTTCTATGTAGGTAGGGACTTAATTACATTTTCAATTTCATTAATAGAAATTGGGTTATTCAGCAGTTTTACATCTTCTTGACCCAGCTTTGATACTTCATATGTTTCTAGGAATCTGTCCATTTCTTCTGTGTTATTGAACCTATGAGAGTAGAGGTTTTTGAAATAGGTGTTGATGATCTATTGTATTTCTACAGAGTCTGTAGTGATTTTGCCTTTTCATTCCTTATTGCATGAATTTGAGCTGTTTCTTTCCTTTTTTTAAAATAAGGTTGGCTAGGGGCTTATCAATTTTATTTATTCTTTCAAAGAACCAAGTCTTTGATCCATTG